GCACCAGCTTCAGCACACGAAGACACCTGGAAGGAGTGCGAGACACTACGCACCCTGCACATGCTCCGTTAGATTTCAAGAGACCCCATCTCGAGTCCCGCAAAAGAGACCATAGACCCGGCGAGCGATGCGACATTGAAGCTGCTCGACACAAAGTGCTGAACACAAAACGCCAAGAGTCTGAGAACAAGGGGGAAAGTCCATCTCTGCGAGGGCACCGCCTTCTTGAAAGCGAAGGAGGCCGAGGAGGGGGTGATAAAGCTGCCCTCCGGACTGCTTTACAAGGCCTGGCTCGTTCGGCAAACATATGTGCATCTCCAAAAGCATGTAAAAGAAGCAACAGTTGGAATGCACGTCGTCATCGCACCGTGGCCTGGCTTGCGTAGAACAGTACTTAGTGACCCCCAATCTGTTTTTATTGTATGTGTATTTTGAGCTGCATGAGTCCGCAACTGAAAGACTTTAAGGCCTATAGCTCCTGAACTCGAAATCCGTGAACTGCTCGCCAAGCTACTCTACGCTGGCATGACCCATGATGAGGGCACAAAGCGATAGACTCATTCCGATCCAGCCCCCCGCAGACCCACATCTCCCAGAAGCCTGCCACGGTCAGCAGGTGCTGAACAAGGGCTCCGGACAGCACCACCCTACGAAGTCGACGTCTTGCGAGTGCCACTACAGTGGAACGCCCTGCGGCCGACCAAAGTGCTTCAGGTTTGAATGCGTTCGAAGGCTTTTGCCTTAAATGTTCTTGAAGTGCCCCCCCGGGTGTTTGGTGTTGTGCTTCTGCATGAGATGTCATGTTTGCCAAGATGTGTCCCTGTACCCCATGCTGCCACCTTGGACTTCCAGTGTGCTCTCACGTCTCGAGCGACAGAACGCGTGTACTCCTTTCGTGTCTCTAAGCTCATGTGGCCTCCAGTTATGTGATGTCAGTGGTGTGTTGTAGCTGTCGGCAGCTCTTAAACGGGACCTTGTAATTACTCGAAGAAGTCTCAGCCTTTCTGGCTTGTGTTTCAAGAACCTGTGGACTTGGATGCGGTTGCGTGCTGTTGAGTGCGGTCGACAAGGCTCATCGATGGTACGGAGTTCGACTCCTCCTACAAGCGTGGCAAGCCTGCAACTTTCAAGCCTAGCCAGGCCGCCAGGCCGCAAGAAAGAACAGAAGGAGACGGAGTGCAAAGCGGAGTGCAGAGGAACTCAGGGATCCGTTGCATGTTCGACACGTGCGAAACTCAGGTCATTGCGGGCTGGACCGAGGCCCTTTGCACATGTGAAATCTGACTGAGTTACAGCCTGCTCCACCTGTGCATGTCCTATCGGACTAGGCCAAGCCAAGCAAGACACGAGCCCCGACTTCATTCTGCTCGCCCAGCTACAATGAATAGAATTGGATGTAGAATCAAGAGTACGGACCCTGCGTTTGGAGTTGTTCTCTCTTGTAGTCCTACTGCCCTGACAACTGAGTCGAGTGACTTGGCCTCTGCTGTTCAAGGCGATGCAGCTCATGGTTGAGGGCGACAAGTGGGAGATGTATATCCCTTCAGACCTGGCACCCCGACAGCGGTCAGAGGTTCGAGGTGCCGTGAACTGAGCCGTGTAAATCTCATGGGCCCCTCAAAGCTGATGGGCTGTGGACAGCTGCAGGCAGGTCGTTTAGACGCATTTAAAGGTACCAAGCAGGGGGACTCAGTGGGCTGTTAGACCATGGCGGGGTGTCTCTGGCGGCCTCAAGCACTGTGTACACAGCCACAGGTTTCGGGGTGCAGGTTCGCATTAAGGCAGTATGGAGGGGCTGCTTTGGAGTCTCGAAGGCTCTGGTCCAAGAGATTCTATTTTCTGCATAGCCCTTGTGGCCACCTGCAAGACAAGAACCCCAAGCATCACGCTCCAAACATCTTCAAACTATTCCCCGCCAAGACCGGATGAAACAGCCGCTCCGACTGTCTGACACCCCGGCACGGGCCGCGCTTTGCAAAGCCGAAAAAGGCTCCTAACAGGGGGGATTTGAAGGCCCGCTGTGATCGGTGTCGTAGACTTGGGGGTTAGGGAAAGTCTGCGGCTCAGGCCATTCGTGCACCGGCAATGCGAATTAGTCACACTTCTCTTGCAGACTTCATAGCCCGCGACCGGAGCACACTGGCATCGACAATCGGATGCTCACTGCGATTTCTCACGCCGCATCCAGAATCAGAATGCTACTTCTCACTTGAGCTCGGCCTGTACATCTTGATCGCTGCAAATTCGGACAAACACATCACTCCGCCAGAAATGCTACCAAACAAGTGCAATCCGACGCTCAAGCTCGAAGATTCCATCACGTCCAGTGGAAGGGAAGCCGTGCCAGCATCCATTGAGACACATGCCACACAGGCGGATACCAACATGATCACTGAACACGAGGGGCCAGGTATTAGTGAAGAGCCGGGTGGACAGTGCGATCGTTCAGTTTGAAAGGAAGCTTGGGCAAGCAACATCCTTGAAGCAAAGAAGCAGATGCTGCTGCTTGCGGGTGCCGGATCTCAAAAGTGCTCGGTGCAGAAAACTGATGGTGCGGGGACTTGCTCTCCATCCTAGCCTGAGACACCTTACGGGAGCTACATCTTCAACAGAAGCGACAAGCCACGCCACGACGTAGGGCTACACGTCAAGCTCAGATCGGATGCAGGGAGCGAAGACCACAATTGCGATGACCTGGGCAGCTGGAAAATTCATGAGAACCGTTTTGAACCAGGCGCGAATGCGTGCCGTGAGAAGCGCATGAAGCCTTTGCTGTCGCATGGCCTCTCAGAAAGAAACCTCATTACTGTGTCTTGTTTCCGGCTTAGCTCGACTACTAGAAGAGCGCCAGTGCACAGGTTCAACGAAAAGGGCTTTCGCATGAGGGCCGTGGATCTGACAATCTTCAAATTAGCTCGGGCTTGGCTCGTGGCTGGGGAGTGCTTTGGGCTTATACTGCTTTAGAATTTATCTCTGAAGTGTTGGCCTTGTGCTGCCCCTGGGGCTTTTTAGGCTGTAGGGCTTTGGGCTTTGTGTCGGAGGGTTTGGGCTTGCAAACATGTTGGGTTTCGGGTTTAGGGCACCCTTGACCCTTGAACGCTAAACCCTATCGAGAGGAGGCAAAAGGAGCCTGCTCCGCGTTCGCCGTTAAACTTTGGGATGGTTTAGGCTTTAGGGTTTAGGTTTCGGGTTTAGGGTTTAGGGTTTAGGGTTCAGGTTCCCCCTTATACTAACAGTTTTGAATAGGGATTATAGTTCTAGTACCCCCTTATTGAAACCCCCTTTGAAGGACTGTTAGTCTATCCCACCTTAAACCCCTAATAAGCCCAACTCAGGCCTACGGCAAACGAGGGGCTGGAGGCAGGATCCCAGGTGATGCCGCTTTGGTGTTCCAGCACCTGGGGTGGCAACCAAGAGGGTTGAGGGTTTAGGGTTTCGGGAGAAGTAAGACCAAGAGAGCTTCGTGGTTCCTCCTGTCCTTGCTTCGGAATGCTTCTGGGAACTTTGGATTCACGGCTGTGCTTACCCTAAACCCTTAAGCCAAAAACGATAAACCCTACAAAACCCAACTGGCAACTTAGGGATCCGGGCAGAAACAGGGGGGCCTCGGGATGTCGTAGCATGCGTTCTCTGAAGGGAGCTCCTGGCTTCTGCCTTCGAGTCGGTGGTTTGCTCCGACTTTCGTTGGCGCTTGCGAACGATGTACTTAATGTGTTTGCTGAGTTTTCTGGCGCCTTCCCTTGATCCTTGGGGCTTTGGGCTGAGGATGGAGCTGGTTAAGATTTTGGGTGCCTTGGATTGCACTTCATGTATCGTGTAACCGTAGGACTGCCGGGTGCCAGGGTGACATGCTTCTACGATAGCTTTCCCGGGCATTGACACTGGCCTTCAAGCTGCAGTGTGCTGTGGGCGAAGCTGCGGGGGAGAGCACCTGACTGCTACAAGGGCAGGGTAGCATGGTCTTCGTTGACATGAGTCTGTCCTTGACAATGCTTCACGCTTGCCTCGTTCGAGCCTGCTGAGCACCAGGCGACAGAGTCCCGAAGAAGACGGAGCTGTGAGGAGAGTTTGTCCAGGAAGCCTGTCCAGGCAGTTCCGGGCCCTAAAGCTCCGGGCTTGGAATTTGACCGCACCTGCCCATGACCTGAAGCCAACTGTTTCGTTTTGTGTTTGCGTTTCAGGGCTTAGAGCTTATGGGTGCAGCAAAGAGGGGCAGTGGATGAAGGGCTCAAAGAGCGAGGATTGATGGCCTTCGACTGGGGGCTCAGGGCAAGAGTCCCCTGCAGCAGCGCGCTGCTGAATGACCTTTTGCGGAGCATGGGCCTCCGCATCCGGGGCATGGCTCCATGCGGTGGCCAATTCCCGGCTTCAGTTTTGGAAGGCTGTCCCAACAACTGAGACCCGCGCCTCCAGGAGCGAGGGGTCTATGCCGCATCTTGATAGCTATGCTAGAAAGGCTAGCCACCTTCCGTCGTCCTGCCGCAGAGCATGGAAAAGGCTGACTGTTTCTGCACCCGAGATTGACAGGCGTGTGCCAAAGCTCGGCATGAGTTGATTAACCCCCTAAACCCTAAACCCCAGCTGTGCAGGAGGGGCAAAACCTAAACCATTAACCCTAAGCCCTGCTCCTTTGGCTGGCTCTGCAGGCCCAAGCCAAGCTAGGGTTCAGGGAGCGAAAAGGGGGGCCTTGTGCTGAACCGGAAAGCTGCTGAGCACTCAGACAGTTCTGGGAGGGGTCTTCGGGCCAATTGACTTTGTTTAAGTTGGGGATATGGGACATCGAGTTGACATGGGCTGTGTACGGATCATACGTCAAGATACTCCCGTGCCGGTTGCGTGATTCTCTTGACCCGCACCTGGTGACATCGGCATTTGTGAGTCTCGGGGCCTGTCGTTGCCCCTTCCGACCTTCGCTTCCAGAAACCCGTACATGCGGCGGAATACCCAGCCCTGCAACGTGCCAAGGCTTGTAGTGGACGAAGTTCCACTGCAGGTCAGTCATGGCAACCCTGGGGAGCAAGTCGTCTATAAGGTGGGGCTGGATGTTGCAGATCGGGGGCGAATAGACCATTTAGACCGGTAGCTGTGGCTAGCTGTAATATATATAACTTATATATATATATATACATATCTATATGTATATGTATGTGTATGTTTATTCATTTATTCATGTGTTTGTTTGTTTCTTTACTTATGAATTTATTTATATTATAATCATGTATACATGATATAAGCAGTTGCTTGATGCTGTTGCGCAGGTGCGATGCACAGACGACGCGGCGGCTTGTCGACCAGGAAGCAGGCCAAACTGCCCTAGCAGCTAGCATTAATCCAGCGTGCTGAACTAAATCCATCTGCATGGAGCGAAGATAGTGCGCAGTTGAGTGATACATCCTCGGATGATCTGCGCAATCTGATCGCACAGGCCACGTTAAGAATATGGACCTGGATAAGCTCGACAGCTGCGGAGAGGCACTACTTTGCAGAAGCTCCAAATGTCCAAACATCTTACGAATGACCACATGCTACAGCATTGTAGGGAAGGCGCGTTGGAACACAAAGGAGGCCTGGAAAGTTAGGAAATTCACTCTTGGACCCTAGCAAATTCAAATGCAGAACGTTGGTTGTAGTACTGTCCTAGTAGACAGCAGCCTGAAGGCAAAAGTCTTGACAGTGGGCTATCATTGCGGTGAGCTAAATGGACTGGGGCGGTTAGCACAAAGGCATGAGTAGGTGCAAAGGTTTGCTGTGACGTGGGCACAAGCCTACAAAAACCAAGTCCCTCGCTCTTAATCCACAAATGAATGCAGGTGACACTGGGGCTGGTTGCCACGTTTGCTTGCGCCCTGCTTGTCTGCATGGTGGCCTTGCCTTTCTTCGACGTTGCTGCTGAGCTGCAGTTGAGAGTTTCAGATGTTATAATGCCAAGAAGCCCAGCGCTGCCAACATCCTTTACGCGACAGGAGCCTCTAGAGGGGCTGACACTGTAGACCCTGGAAAATGTGCTGAAGGCAGTTCGTGTCAAGGCAAATTGGCACGGGGGCCCTTTTGGTGACTTTTGTCTCTGGGGCCCTTGCCTTTGCGGGGAAGACCTCCTCTTATTCCTGCATCCGCCGTGGCTCTGTCGTTATGCCTACTTTCGGACCTCTCGACGCCCGATGGTGAGTTCTCAAAACGAAACGCTGCCCACTAGCATCTCCATATGGCGGTCAGAATCATCCAGTCCGCGAGACACGGCAAGTTTCTGTTTCTCTCCTGAGTGTGGGCCCCGTTGCCCTCAGACAACCTAAAAACGGCCACATGCCTTGCATCGGGGGGGTGCCGCGCCTCCGACGTCCGAACTTCGCGAGGTCACCATGGGCTGGGTGAAGTGCCTCGGCTGCACTGATCCGGATCAGTCTAAGCTTCAGGTTCCTTCTAGAACTCTAGAACTCGAGTTTGGTGAAAAACCTCTCAGCCTCTAAGCACCCCAAGTCAAAGCACCTGGGTCCAGGACCTGGGAGCGCCACGTCGGCTATGTTAGCATGAGTGACTTCAAGGACGGCCCTAGAAACCCGTTCACTGGACACGGCCGGCTGCAGCTGCTTCTGACCTCCGACCCTCCTTGGAGGCCTTCCATGTCTTCGGAGAGAACCAGTTTGATGGTGTCAGGGCCTCACTGCAGCATCCAAAACCTCGGGCTTTTACTGATGCAGTGCGACTAGTAGAGCTGTGGTCGTTGCACACAGGGTCAGTGAGGAGTCGTACAGAATGAGTGCGCATCAGGTCTTTGTCCCTGCATGCCAGAAGCAGTCCGAAGTTCCGCATGGGTCTGTCTCTCCCTCTGCCCAGAAATCCAACTGGTTCAGCCAATTAAATACCAATTTGCTTGCAGTTTTCAGGATGCAAACAAAGCCTACAACGCCATGGACAAGTCACAGGATGGGTACGTAGCCAGCACCTCAGTTGTGCTGTAGTGCCTGGGGTGGTTTTGACACGGAATACTACTTTTGGGGAGATCTGTTGGAGCCTCAGTTCTGAAGGCATCCACAGGTTCTTGGCAGCCCCCGCACCTGGTCCTACCAAGCCCCAGCAACCCTGGTACACCGAAACCAACTGGGGGTTTCCGGACATTGGCGGTACCTTACTGGGGTCCCGATGAAAAGGGGATCCTACTATTTGGGGGACTACATTAGGTGTCCCTTATGTTCGGAAACCCCCAACTGAATTCTGCTGAGGACTTGACAGAGTTCAGGGACTTTGTGGGCAACCTCAAAGAGCCGATCGTCAAGGAGGAACAGGCCCATGCTTCCCTTTTCTTTTATCAGGACCCTGCAGGCGTTCAGGTGGGTTGGCAGCTTTACCCTTCTTACCTTCGCCGGCTGCACAAGTGTCACAAGTGCAAGTGCTTGTTGTTGAACTCACTGTGTGTTCCACGGAGCATGGTTGCAAATGCTACACCACCACGCCACGCCGGGGAACACGTCTGAGCACCGGGCCGATGGGTAGCAGTTGGCATCATCGGAGGCTTGCCAGAAGGTTGTGCTTGGTTGTCTCCGATTAAACATAGAAAGCTCTCCCCAGCATTTTTAGATGTCAAAAGGACGCAGTGCCTTTGAGGGAACCTCAAGATTCAAAAAGCCGGTAGGTCCTCTTCGCGTTCAACGGCTTGGACGAGAACGGCGATGACAAGCTGACGTCAGCTGCGGGCTGCCCCAGCTTGTTGGGTGAAGGTTTAGGGAGTAAAGTTCAGGGTTTATGGTTATTTGTCGAAGTGTTAAGACATATTAAGACTTGGCCTGAAGTAGAGCTCTAATGAGAACTGTTTGAGGGCATGGTTGGCGATGTAAATGTTGTTAGGAAGCCATGGGCTCGGTATCGACGAAACTTCAAGCAGATGTGGCAGCTCGCCCATACGCGCGTGGTGGCCTCTCTGGGCTTTCCGGGTAGTGGGTAGGGGGCCCAGGCTGGCATTGATTGGTCTCGGCTATTGCGGAATGTTGCTACGATCAGCCTCCCTCTGGCTAGAGATCAGAATTCTGCTGTTGGTAGCCTCTACGAAGGTATGAGCACTTGCTTCTTGATGGTTTGGAGATGAGCGGCTACCTGCGGTGCACAAGGGAAGCCCCGCAAACCTGTCTCAAAGTTTGAGAGTCCAGATTTACCGGGGGCCCTCAGAAGAATGCCAAGGAGTGGGACAAGGGCCTGGCAGAGCCTGAGTTCTACTACTGGCCCCTTGGTCCAAGAGGAGAAACATTCAGAACTTGAACCGAGGTCCTACGGATGCACATCTCAAGCCCTGGATACCCATAGATAGCACTGTGGATCTTCTTTTCGTACAGTAGAGCACGGAACTGCACCCTTGGTATGGTCCCAGGGAAACTACGACTACTACCACGATGCCAGCCGCGGATGAGGCGGCCTCGGCAAAGAAGGCTGCTGTTGAGTCCGCTGATGTCCACTGTTCCTGGGCGCGTATGCTTGGGACTCATGTCCGACGGCCGTCGCACAGAGGCAGCAGAGGAGGCTGCTGCAAAAGAGGCCGCCGCGCAAAGAGCCGCAGCGAAGGCAGCTGCAGAACAGGCCCTTTCACTGCGGCTGCGAGCGTTGCCGTCAGTGGTGGTTTGTCATCAAAAGCGTACCGGTTCCAGGAGGCTGCAGAGCTGAAAGCAGCGATGGCCCGCCAGCAGGCCTGCTCACGCAGAATGAGCTTTTAGGATGGCAGCTTGTTGATGATGATTGGGTTTGGAGGTGTTTAGACAGGTTTGGCACTTTCAGGTGTCAGGATCTCCTAGGACTTGTGTGGGGCTGCCATAACCGAATGTAAGTTGGGCCTAGCAGGGTACTTGCAGCTACCTTGCAGCGTAGCTGCGGGCGCAGCATCGCTATGCGCGATTGGAAGATGGATTCGACGCCTGCGGATTCAGCAGTTGAGGAATCTTGAAGTTCAGAAGTGTGAGCGACAATTCCCTCATCACCTGACATGTGACATGGACACCGTTCTCCAGGAGTACTGGTTGCATTGAAAAGCCAATGTTTGCAGGCACGGCAAAAGGCAGAACGAGAAGGTGCCAAGCACGGCGCAGCACCCATTCATTCGGTTCAGATTGTCGCCGGTAGGGATTTGCTTTGCTGAGAGATGCCGGGATTAGCGGCTGCCTACGTTTTGTCTCGCCTTTGGGGCTGAGCACGTTGAAGCGACTGCGGTTCTAACGCCGACACTGGGTGGCAAGTTGTGCAACCCGCTAGCTCTGAGTTCCGTTGAGCTTGAGCTTCCTTGACCAGCGCGAGTTTCGCAGGCCCAAAGGCCAAAATCGAGAAGCCGCCGCCCGCGCCTGTCTGGGAGGAGCTTTCGTCTTTGGAATTGGGATCTTCCAAATTGACACTCTCTTCAGGGGAACCCCTTCCCAGCAAGTTTAGCGCACGCTCTTGGGCAAGCCCAAAGGATCCGGGCCCGCAGGCTCACTGCTAAACAGGTGGTGCTGATAGTGAACTGAGGTTGACACGAAAAGTTGACATCCAAAGAGTTGATACAGAAAATCAGAGCTGTAAGCACTTTGACCCCCTGAGTTTGCTCGATGCTTTGTTAAGCCGTTGAGGCGGCATCTGTCCTTTGAAAGCGTCAGCATATGGAACTCCTCACCAGCCTGGCAAACGCTGCGAGACTTCTGCTTTTTAGCCCGGCCCGACAATCGGAGCAGAGTTTAAGGGGCTTTGGGCTGATAGGACTTGTCTTGCCGTGCCTAGGCCAGGCCGGAGGAACCCAATTCCCAGCACGAGATTTCGGTTCTCCATTCAAAGACCTTTTTAGATGAATGAAAAGGTGGGAGGGGACAAGTACACACTAGATAGAGGGCCTTGGAGAGGGATTAGAGGCGGGAAGAAGGGGGGTTGCTATGGACGAGGCCGAGGTGAATGTTGTCATTGGGTTTGGCTGACATTTGGCTGAGTGCTAGAAGCGTTAGGCAGCGTAGTGTGCAGAGAGCAGGACGATGTGTCCATGAACGACCTGATCAACCGCATGGGCGATGCAGGCCATGCCACCCCAGGGTACACCCCCCCTCCACAGGCAGTTATCTCCAAGTCCCGCTCTTGACAACCACCAAGTGGCCAATCCAGAAACCAGGTATTGGAAACTGAGATGTGAAATGGATTCATTCACTCTTCACGGTGATCCGATGATCTCTCGGTTCAGCCTCTGCACGTTTTAAAGGCACGCTGCCCACCCACGCCATCTCACAACGCCTTCTGCCGCTTCTTTTGGAGGCAAAGGATCTGCGCAGCACGCTCTTCGCAGCTTCGACCGAGACGGGGACGGCATCGCAGCACACGGCGAGTGCAGGGCTGAGGCTGCAGAAATAGGGTATAGGGTTTAGGGTTTATAGGGCTTAGGGCTTAGGGCTTGCCATGTCGGCAAGGAGCCTTCATGTTATTGCGACCCAGGCTTTCGCATGTGTCGTCTTCATGCTTGCAATGAAACAACCATGACGAAGACTTCAGGGTTTGGAGGGATTTCTCTTCCTGTTTTGAGTTTTATGTTCCTGTTCCATTCTGAGAGGGAAAAGATCACGAGAACCATACGACAGGAAGACGGCATGGAGAGCACTTACTGGATTGTTCTACATCTTCTCTCTGCCTCTTATCTCTTGAAAAGACTGAAAATCAGGCCTATATACGGATTGCAGAAGGAGAGGGAGAGATTTCCACACTTGTTCCAGAAATCAGAAGAGAGCAGTGAGGGAGACAAAATAGACGACGACAAGTTTGAACAATGGCTTGGTTCCGGGCAGGTTTCAGGTGTTTGAAATGGTTGCTCTTCTTATTGTTTGTGTCCCTCTCCTCTGTTCCCCTCTCTTTGCGATCTCTGTCTTGAAGCTTTCTCGTTCCGTTGCGAGAGAAAAAGCTAATGATTCGCAGACAGAACAGCGACACGAACGTAGGAAGCCGCAAAGGGCACACATGCTAGCTCCACTCCTCTCCTTCTTCCCACGTGAATTCCGCTTCCTTTTCTTCATGCCGTCAGAAATCAGAAGTGGGTGAGTGATGGGTGGAGAAAGAAGGTGGAGAGCGTGAACAGGAGAAGAACACTGTACCATCGCAGAAGAGGCAAGAATGAAGAGGGTGCTCAAAGAAAAAAAACTCCCAAGTCCGCACAGCCAAGCTTGCGCATACACTACAGGTCCACTATGTGGGTTTAGGGTTTAGCAAGAAGGGTTTAGGGTTTAGGGCGCTTCGGGCTTGCCTTGAATGGAAGCTGCGGCTTGGAGCCCGCGAGGCAAGGACAGGTCCTTTCTCCGTGCCAACGGCAACCTGATAGGATTACGTGAAAAGGAGGTTGCCCACATGGCCTCTCCTCTAGTTTCCACCCTTTCCCGTTTCCTGAAAGACAAGGCGAGAGGAAGAGGAAAGGAGGGGGGAAGCGCCCACCCAATCTGTCCATAGTGTTCTGATAGCAACAAAACATGAGCGGAAAAGCCAGAAAAGGCCAATGCGGATGAAGTGACAGAAGAGGAAAGGGTAGAATTCCCTTACAGCATTTGAATTGTGTCCCTGGAAACATTCTTCTTGATCTCTTCCATGACGAGGCGCGCTGAAACGGTAGGATGCCTTTGCTGCCCTTCTGTTCCTCCGTTCCGAATCCTCTTGGTTCCTTGCCTCTCCCCCCCCCTCCCCCCCCTCCCCCCCTCCCCCCCCTCCCCCCCTCGCCGGCCCGCATGTCCTGATAAGAGAAAGACAAAGAGTGGAACGAGAGAGTGGAGAGAAAGAACTATCGGGAACTGAGAGGCTCCCATTTCCGGGTATGATTCCTGCTTCCTGTTCCTTCCTTCCATTTCCCTGTTTGTGAGAGTTAAGTTACGACAACGACAATACACGACAGGGCTAGGCTTGAAAACATGGAGAGTTCGCGGTGTAATTATCTATCAATGGATGTTTTTTCGGCTTGGGGTGCATTGGGTGGGTGGGTGAGGGTGGGGGGGGGGGGGGGGGGGGGGGGGCGAAATTGACCTCTCAAGCCCAAACCGAGCGCTTGCAACAAGTTAAGAAAACAAGGGGAAGTCAAAGTAGGAGACCGCACTGACTTTTCGTCACCATGAGCTGCTGGACTAGATAGCACACCGTGGCTCAGGGCTAGCCAGCGGGCCCATGGGTTTCGGTTTAGGGTGTAGGGTTTAGGGTTTAGGGTTTAGGGATGCCTTCTTACTGCGGCCCGCTTCCCAGGTTCCTTGCGGGCCTGGGAAAGCTCCCGCAGCCCGTGAAGGGCCCCGCTGCCGAGGGCGTTTTCCAGAGCCTGGACTCGAACCAGGATCTCCTGGTTTTGGGTTTCGAGTTTAGGGTTTCGGATAGGAATATAAGGAGGACCCCTAAAAGGGACCCTTACACCCTTACATAGTTTCTATATACCCAAGTGGCCCCTACTGAGCCCACTGGGGATGTGGCTGGGATCTCGAAGTTGTCAGCCAAGGCCAAGACAGGCTAGAACAATGTTGGGAGCCAGGTTCTTGCCTCTTTTGCTTTACATGCCAGGTAAAAACTCCAGAATTCGAGAGTGAGTTGTGCTTCCGTCGCTGGCTTGTGTAGATTGCACCGGCAAGAAGCATTGCAATGCCTCTGCCGCAGGATGGAATGGTGGAAAGCCAAGAGTTCGCCAACGCCACTCGGCCACCATCTGGCATAGTAGTATCCTGAGGGCAGACATGCTAGCCGCTTGCCATGCCAGCATATGCCAGCCACTACCATGCCAGTTGGGGCCCTTGCAAAAGGGCCTTGGGCTTGGGTTCTGACCCAGGAAAAAACGGGATTTCTCTTGAGGATTGGGCTGTAAAGTCAGACCGCTGAGTCCAGATTCGGGTTCGAGTCGTGCATCAATAAAGCATTCACTGCGTATTAACCCTCCCCGACACACGAAGATGTCATGCGAGTCAGAAACTGAAGCCAATACAACGCCTTTCAATTCAAGCTGAATGGGCTCTAGGTTGCACCTTCCGAGTCCGCGCACAGGTGCATGCTTTTTACGTGCCATCGTTAGGCATGTGAGAAGAAGTGCCATTTTCGCCTTGTGTATCGTCATGATTGCGCTTGTGGTCGCGACATGGGGCGGCATGATGGAAGGGGCTGTGCGAATACATGCGCATCCTACGTTTACATGACAGACTGAATTCCAAGACCCGGGCCGAGGCCTTCAATCGGAAACGCTATGTGCAAGCAAACGTGCAGAAGTCACAGGCTGAGCACTGGGCATTTTATTTCGGAGGTCAGGACTGCTTATGTCCATTGAAAGAGGTTATCCTTGTGAGTTCACGCTTGGATGTACTGCGTTCAGTCTGCCTTACGATGGTTGTTGTGCAGTCGCTCTCGGACGTGACACTTTCCATCGCAAGATGGCTGTAGCAGGTAAGTCTTGTCTTCGTGTCAATCGCGGGAGTTGAGCCAGGGATGCTGCGGCACATCCCAAAGACTTGCAGTCCCAACTCACGGGTTCCACTCCACCCAAAGAGTGTGGACATGTGTGGACTTACACAGCAAGTGAGCACAAATAGGCTAGAGCATCTAAGAACCAGAAGCAGCTTACATTGCAAGCTGCAAGATGTTGTAGGTGAAAGCCCTGCGGTAGCTCAAAGCTTTGCAGCCAGGGCCAGTCGCACATGCGGAGTAAGAATGCGCAGCGGGAGACAGAGGTCCTCAAGGCATGGGAGAGTGGGTGGCAGGGTCGTGAAGTTCGTATCCGTTCTGAGTCTTGTTAAGTTTGTGAGGGGCCAGCATTGCCAAGAAAACGAGGCAAGGAGACCTGTTGCCCTGAGGACATGCACCTCTCCCAACCGCCTCTGACCATTGCCCAGCCGGGAGCCTTGGGAACGGCATCACATGCTGGGAGCATCCGGCACGAGTTTCGCATTTTCAGCAGGCACCCCCTTTTTTTCTTTCACACAAGAGATGCAGCACACCCACAAAGGCCCATGCAGCCCGTAAAGTGCCCGTAAGGAACCCCAGCGAGTTTGAAGGCCTAGGGAGTGAGCTACGCAGGGCCGGTGGTAGTCCGCCCCCCGAAAGGCTTCGCACCTTCAGCGCCTAAGGTGGGCTTAGGGTGTAGGGTTGAGGGTTGAGGGTTGAGGGTTTAGGACTTAGGGTTTAGGGGGACCAAAAACTTCCCCATGCCAAGGTTTGCCCAGGGCATGGGTTCAGTCACCCCGGAGACGGCCTTCAAAGCTTTGGACGCAGATCAGGAGCCCATTTAGAGCCTTCAATCTCCTTCTAGGCATGTCGAGTCTTGAGGTGTAGATGAAGGGAGTTGTCAAGAGTCAAGAGTACCTCTTGTGTGCCATGGAGATGTTGATGTGCAGTGCAGCTTTGGGTGGACTTCCTTGGGTCATTGCTTGCACCCCAACACAGCAAGCCCCTGCGTGCAGAATGGCGAGATCTCGGAGACGGAAATGGCCACCTGGACATGCAGATGCGTTGGACAAATTGGCTCCAGGACGTGCAAAGTTAGGAATCGTCAGTTTGATGCTTCAGGCTGCTTCAGGGTTCAACAGTGCCGGGGGCTCTATGGTCCACAGCTGACACTGCGGCCTCAAGCTGTAGGACTGCAGGATCGTAAGCATCCGAGATTTCAACGAACACTTCATAGGCACTATGAGGTGCACCCACGTGGCACTCCTTTTACGTGCCATGTCCTCCCAGGTGAGGTTTGCTTCGGCCTTCCTGCCCCCCCTCACGGCCTCCTGGCGGCCAAACATATGACTGCAATTCCCTGCAGCAGATCGCTGCTGCAAAGACACAGCAGAGAGCTAGTAAGATCAAGTTGCGGGGCCGTTGCTTCCTGAAGCGTAAGAGACGCTCAGACTTCACCTGCGTATTCGCCTAGGTTGCAGGTACAGGTTCAGAGCTAGAAACCCCCCCTTTGCACACATTCCCTTATGTGCATAGTTCGTGCCCCTCGTTTTCGCAAGGCTGGAGCGGCTTTTTTTGCCGACGTTTGAAAAACACGAGCTACATTAGTGAGCTAACAAAAAACAGCTGCAGCCTCCTCCCACACACAGAAATCACCGAAGGAGTTGTTAACTGTTAACCCGTCTTAAATTCAGTTCTTCAAGGCGCAGCACCGAAACTCAATCATGCCGAAGACTATGCTTACCCATTCTTGCATCTGCAGAATTTTCGCCCACAAGGCGGAGCAGGCCCGCTATGCCCAGAAAGGACTGGATGTTAATGGCGACCAGCGTGTCGTGCCTCAGGAGATGTATGACGCTTGCCAGCAGTCAGTCAGGCTCATGCTTGAGGGTGATTGAGTCCAGATCAAATTACTTTCAAATGGAAAAAACGAGTTGGATGCTTTGCCTGCGGGGTGCGCATGTCCGCGTTGAGCCACGCCGCCGCGGGCAGCAGTCAGGCGATCATAGCACCTCTCCAATGTCACTCCCGTGTTCGGTGCATGAAAGTTCCGCTGCTCGCTGCCCTTTGCTCGTGAAGTTGCAGTTCGCTTGTCGATGTTGAATCGGCGTAGCAGGCCTTTGGAAGCGGACGTGCGTCCCGCATCCATGTGCACCCCTTGCCTTTGCCTAGGACACGTTGAAGTTCGGAGCGTTTTTCCCAACAGAGGATCAGGCAGGACTACGCTGTGTTTGCAGAAGCGCATAGAGTACCGGGCCACTGCATGTCATGGGCACACCCGAACCTTGCCTACAGTAAGACCCTAGGCCTTGAGAAACCCGAGACGGGGAGGCGCAGTGAACCGCAGAGGAGTGCAGCTAATCCCCGAGAAAAGATACCCTCAGCAGGCATGGAACTAACTCGCCCCCAGACCAGCTTGCCACCTCCTTCTGGTGCACGTGGCATCAATTTTTTCAGCTTTTGTGGGCATCGAGGTTCTTGTCCTAAACCGCTTCTGGCGTTTGAAACGAGTCGAAATTATGGCAGAAGGCCATGCTCCAACTTGTCCACTCGGGCTCCCTTGCCTTGCCTTCGAAAGCAGTCCGCTGGAAAGCTTGAGTGGGGGTTTGCAGAACACGGATTTGTGGTCCTTGACCAACGTCTGCCTACCATTCAAGCCACCCGGTTCCACCTACTTGCCCATGGCCATCCTTCAGCCTCTTATGTTGCTTTGCATGTTCCGCATGCCCAATGTGCAGGCTCGATCTTCGTAGGCTGAGTCACGAGCCGGCAGTACCCGGGATTCTGAACTGGAAGATCCGGCACACTGTCGACAGTTGTAACTTCTTGCTTCGCTGATTCGGGGCATGCCGGGAGGGATCAGATGAACTTAGGAGTTCCCTCTAGAAGTCCTCTTCAAAAGCTACAGTATGGCGGATTGCCGCAGACTCAGAATGCATTGGTTGCCCAACCCCTGATCACGCTGCGCTGCCCCATGGGTACCGCTTTCATCCTTAGCTGACCATGTGATGCACTCTGATCGCTGGAACTGTTTCTATAGGTGGACTTTCTGTGCCCGCCTGGTGCTTGTACCATGTGTTGCGACATGCCTACGTGCAAGCATGTGCTGGAAGAGGGGGCCCCAAAGTGCCACCAACGTTTCACCATTATAATTGAATTAAGCTGGAGGAGTTCTTTTTGTTGAGTCCATGGCGCACAGTGCAACTGCAAGCTACGGGTCTGGTAATGTCCCTCGGTTAGTGTAATGAACGGAGTGAGAAGGAAAGCTGCTGCCAGCTCCCTCAAGGCGTTCATGCGTGCACAAGCGCCGTGGACAGTGGCTGGTGCAATAGGTTTTGCAGAAGTGCCATCAAATGTCTCCACGCCTCTTCACACCTAGAACTATGACAACAAAGCCAGTCGTTAGAAGGCATCAGAACCGTTTCTACCTGCAAGGATCAAAATTCGCCAGAAATCTTGGCAAGTGCCGGTACACGAGCGCAAATGCAAAAGAAATCTCTGCTTGCATGGTGGCTTGCCGTAGGATGTAGACAGGTGAGACTTCTGGATTCGCAAAAGGGCTACTCCCAGGGCGATCTGCAGCGCAAACATGAATCGATGGAGCGGAGGCTGCCCCACACCAACAGTGCTTATCATGCAAACAAGTCCCTACTACGGTTGAGGGTTGAGGTTTTAGGGGTTTGGGGTTTAGGGTTTCGGGTTTCGGAAAGCTCAGGAATGGCCGGCACCAGAGTGTCGATTAGCTTTGCCTGCTATCTCTTTGCTAGCGTTGCGTGTGGTCACCCAGCCCGATTCAAACCCGTGTCTGGCACAGCCTATGACCGTGACGGTGTAGAAGCAGCACGCATGGTGCGAATGCTGCGGTTCTGGCACTTGCTTCTATTCCATGTGCTGCGAATTCTGGTTCGAAACAGCCCTGCTTAGTTATCATAAGTGCACTGGAAGTGCGTCATGCATACTGTCCACTCCAGGGCTGGGCTCAAAGGGTTGAAAAGGTGCAGAAGAGAGCAGTTCAAGCTAGGAACTGCCCTTGGTTCTGTCACTTGAGCTACTGAGCTACTCTCTCAGTTGTTACGGTCGTAACTTTTTATACGTTGGCAGCCTCCCGCTTCTTCCGCTCATTCGGCGAGTAAGTTCCAAGGAACTTCAGAGAGAGGAGGGAGGCAGCTGCTGCTTTTTTTCAGCGGCCGGCACCATGGAGGTGGGTACTTTGCTTCTTTGGGGACTCGGGGTTGCTGTTGAATCTGACAGCACAGGGAGAGGAGAGCATGTTCCGAGTTTGCAAGTGCTGTCCACGTAGGAGGTTCGTGTGGGAGCTTCATGGTACCAGTCCTTGGGAGTATTTGGGGTGCAGGCTTGAAAGCTCCAGACCACCGATACTTTGATGAGCAGCGCCAGGCATTTCAGAATGCGATGGTGCTTTGCTGCAGCACGCGACCCCGAGCGAGAAGTGCGCCGTGGCAAAGAAACTCTTTTCTTTAGGCTGCAGAGGGATTCTGAATCTGTGGAGCAAAGGTGCTTAGGTGATCGGTACGCCATCGACAGCGCAGGGACCATCCAAAAGCAACGCTCCTCGAATCTCACCTGTTGTCCTAAGCACGGAAGCACGGGGGGTTGGGGAATGGCTCCAAAAAAGTAAAAAAGCATCACCTGCGGCCATCTGACGGCCATCTTTCGTGCTTGTCATATGGTGCTAGCTCTTGGGTACCGAGGCCTCCAGCAGTGTCAAGCTTGCCTTCGCCAATCGAACTGCAGCAGATCCGAAGTTCGTGGAGCCTGGTTTGTCCACAGGATCTGCAGCGATCGCCCGCCTGAATGTGAGTGGTCAGGCGCAGCATCTTGGCTTTTTGGATTTGACCCATTACTTGATGTTCCGGTTCTGGTAGCTGAATGTATAAGGCCAGGTCGGCAGGTTTCGCAACCACTACGCCATGACATTCGCCGTCAGCCGTTGGACATATTCTGCTTTGCAAAGAACTCACTAGCTGCCCTCTGTGCCACTCATTCAGCATCGAGCTGTCACTGTATGGGCGGATGCTATCTCATTGCTCGCTTGCCCGCAACCCACGCATAAAAGCAATCTGTCGACGGGGCTGCCTCAACAGCGCACTGCGATTTGCTTAAGAACCCCGAAAATATAAGGGATAAGAATCCCTATCTTACCATTGTAAGGAAGAATATTTTCTTATATATATATATATATACATATTTTTTTTTTTTTTTTTTGGGGGGGGGGGGGGTGGGGGGGTTCTTGAGCAACTACTAGTTCAGTAGTAAGCTCTCCACATGCCTCCTCGAGCCTTGGGTTCCCGTCGAGAGAAAGGTATATCTATGGGAAAGTGTCGTCAGCAAGTCCCTTGAGCGTCCTGTGCTGGGATGGCAAATCCTACAACGCCACAGCCGCCTGGCACTCTTCAGACCTCTGCATTGCTGGGCTGTACGAGCCCCTGAGGGAGGGTTCTGAACAGGCACGTGCCAGTACCCCTGAGCCTAGGCTAGCTCCCAGGATACCCTTTGTTGCGCTCAGCCCAGGACCTGATGTGGGTTGCAGCTGCGAAAGACGATGGGTGGCTGGCACCCTATGGCAAGGATCATCTGGTTGAAACGCTTGAGGGATCTTGGGGGTGTGTGATGAGAGGTCCTGCTGGATTTCAAGTGCTTTTACGCTTTTGTTTGCGCCGAGTGGGCGCCATTCCGTGTCCGTGCCAATGCAGATGCAATGTATCGCAGCGATTTTGACAGCCTCTCTGACATACTGCGATGTAACAGGAGTGGAAGGAGGTGGGCCGGCGAGTCTTCCTCAGGCCACTTCTTTGTGCAGGTAGGATGTTCTGGCTGAACTCACATGCGGGCGTCTTAACCTCGAAGCTTGGGTGCTGAAATGCAGATAGAATCCGATAGGATGAGCAGGATGGGTTCAAAAGACTGGTAGCTCGACGACTGTCTCTTGTTTACTCGGGCATTCTCGTGGATTCAGGCTCCTGAAGAATGACGAGTGGGTCTCGGCGATCGTGGGCACCTGCAAGCAGTGGCCCCAAAGCCAGATGCAGCCCATCATTCTGAAGCATACACTAAGGGATTCCACCGGTGTGTCCTACAAAGGAAGACCGGGGATCCCCTAGCAACAGTTCTAAACTGAGAGTGGAGTGCACTCGCAGTCGAGCGCTATCCCCGCCCAACGAGGCCCGAGGACGCCGAAGATTACCTGCCGCTGGAAGGACGAGGGAGAATATACTAACGCAGTCACATAAGAAAACAATCACATCATGCGACAATAACAGAAATACACAATAAAATCCTTCTAACGCTGCGCGACCCGCCTCGGCCTGGGCCAGCCCAGCGGCGAGGCAACCCAAACCGGAGATCGCGGGTGTGAAGGTGCTGTTAGGCTTCAGGGCTTCGAGAGAGGCTTGCGCAACAGGCAGCCCGAATGTGAGAGTGGTAAAACAAGGAACACATGGGTGAGGGTAGGAGGTGTGGGATACTGAAAGTTCGGGACAAGTTTGGAGAGGGCCCCTCCGAGCCTGACACTTTTGGCTCTTCAACTCGCACAGGGCATTTGAGAGAGAACTGGAAGCCCGCCGAGCTGCAAAGCTGGGACGGAAACCGGCTGCGCATGCGCGAGGCGTAGCAGATCTGCCTGGGGTCAACGTGCCAGAAGAAGTTGGCATGCTCTTCACCCCGCACGAGGCACGTTTGAGAAGGCTTGTTCAGAGTTCGCAGAGGAAAAGGTCGAACTTCAGGGGAGACTGTGCCCAGCGGCAAGTCATCTGTTGCCATTGCGAGAGTCCAAGCCATCTCTTGCGCTGAGACAGCTTGTCAGGAGTGCCAGGACGAATTCGCGGGGCTTGAACCAGGCCTGGGCGTGTGTGGGGGGTTGGGTCGGTCTGCGGGGTCTGTATGAGTGGGTGAGCTTGTGTGCGCACGCCAGGCCGCGGTGGTACTCTTATGGACCACCTTTCGAAGGACCGGCCGCCACTCTCAAACCAAGCTGTTCGGGGGTTTTCTCTGCGCATGTATTGTGTGAGGTGGGCATTCACTTTCAAGCTTGCAGGCCTTCATCGTGTCCGGGCATAAATCCGTTCAGCGACTGCGCTGGGTCCAGCGCCCTGTCTCGAGATTCCCCAAACCCTAAACCCTCACTCACCTCGCGTAGGCAAGAACACTTGAAGCTTTTTCCTGTACTAGTAGTTATTTCTCCGATTGCTCACGTTTGCATCGCTGCAGTGTTGTTGCGGGGCTGCTAGGCAGGTGGCAAAACACCCTAGGCCCTAAACCCTGGTTCGGCTCTGTCACATCTGTCACAACATGTACTACAGACACCTGAACGTCTCAGGAAGTGCCGGGTGGAGCCACAGTATCCCATGCGCTGCGTCTTCGTCCATCCTAGCGTCAAGAGCCTGAAGCGGCATTAAGGGAAAGAAAGAACTGTGCAGGCATGCACAACCATTGTCGCGAAAAGCCGCGATGCTTTACATCTAGCAGGGAAACCGGTCAGCTGCCTTTTCTGACTTTGGCTAAGCATACTTTGCGTGCCTAGTTCATTAGTTCATGAATTCGCCAAACAATCCCATCACTTTTGCCCCATGATTGGCCGAATCCACAACCCGTTGGCTCGTGCAAGCCCCATGATTCCACGATTGGCCATTCGCACCCATTCACCCAACCACCTGGGTGCTTTGGTGTGCGAGCCGCGATTTAGTCCATTCGTTTGCCGGAGTCCCTTGGAGACCTTTGGGTTAATGGGTTGATGGTGTAGTTAATGTGTTGGCCACCCAAACCATGAACAACCTCAAATGGTTCATGGCTGGCCGTAAAAGCAACACATTGACCCAATCACGGCTCGAGTATTCTTGAGCCAAATCATGTGATACTGGTAGGTTGACAGTTGACGGTTCAAAAGCTGGGGGAGGGGTTCGTGGGTTCCATGGCATGTCCGCAAGATCATCTATGTGTGAGGATTTTTGCACGCAGAGGGTTTTGGCATGTTTTGATGGTCTAAGCGATTTGAGAGGAGAGTGTGAAGACGCGGAAAGGCCGCGCCACGGTTGCCAGTAGCGTCGCCTGATTTGAAATCAAGATGACCTTCTATAGCTCAACCTTCCTGTTGTTGACCAGCACTGTTCCGCTGCTGCCTGAGCATGTTCTGGACCTGGCTGCAGGAATCTGGGCCTTGCCGAGTTCGTTAGGCGCTGCCACGAGAAGCAGGCCGAATGCATCGGCAACCTCCCAGATCCGGAGCCTGCGCTGCATACTGGATTGGGGTCGTTTGGTTCTTTGGGGCTGCGTAGACTCTGCGTCAGCTTCTTGGCAAGTGGTGGCGGTGCCCAGATACCGAAAATATCAGCCTGTGTTGCGCCAATGCACCAGCGGAAATTTGCAGTATTCGAGTAGTTCAGGCCGCGGAACTTTGCAGAATTCGAGTCCTTCAGGCTGCGGAACTTTGCAGAATTCGAGTACAGGCACTTCGCCAAGCCAACCCAGACAACCCCCACACTGTCAAAGATCCATGACTCAAGGAAGTCGTGATGCTGCTGGGGCCTCCGGCTGCGGGCAAAAGCTCAATCCAGCGTTTGCCTCCCAACGAGGCCTGGCCTGTTGTGCTGTTGTGGATGGCAGGCACAGTCATGCTTGCTTTCAGGTGCCGCCTGCCCTGAAGGAAACCGCAACATGGCGAGGGTTGTGTAATCGTTGCGGAACTTGCAACAGCCATCGTGGGATGGGCTGGAGCCGGACAGTCGAAGTGACATGGTCGCTGGCAGTGACGGGCGTGTTTGAGACAGCCAAGGTCCGCTCATTGAAATATCGGGAAGAAGTTAACAACGACAACCTCTGTGATCCTTGTCGAAAGTCAGCTTTTTGTGCAGTGTTGGCCGGGCACCGCGTGCAAGCATGGTCTGTTCGCATGTGCAGCGGCATGCCTTGAACAGATGGTCAGAGCAAGCATTTCAAGATGTTGAGAGCATGGCACCCGCATCCCAAACCTGCTTGAAGGCCGTAGAAACCTTGAAAGAGCACCTGCACAACAGGAAGCGGGCATCAACATCAAACGCACAGGTAAGACATGAACATGTCATGTCACACGGGCAGAGCACGAAACTCACAACCCCAGCAGCAGGGACTTGACCAAACATGAGGATGGGTTTGGACTATGAGTACCACTTCCGCTATGTCCCTTAAGTTGTCTCTGTTTTGTTCTTCAATAAGTATCTCATCGAAGTCTTCTGTTGTGGCTGACGATGTTCTTCTCAACTCTCTACAATTGGAACTGCATGGCTCGCCTTTCCGGAGATCCTTTTCGGAATGGAACCACTCATCTTCCTCTTCAAGACATTAACGTCGTCGATTCCACAACAAACTCCCCAGCGACGAGAATGCAGCAACGAGAAGTTCACCAGGCTCCACCCGATGGTCAGTCTCACGCACGATGCAGATAAAGCGTGAAGTGATCACACAGGCAAGAAGAAACAGCCAGCAGCATACACTTTCACGCTCACTTTTCTCCGTGAGTGTTCAGTCTTCTTCAACGTACTCTGACCAATTCAATTCACACATTTCCCACTTGCCTCTGACTCTCGTGCCTGACGATGGAGAGTGAGTTCGGGTATCGAGTCATGTCAGGACTGCATGCCGGGCTTCCGCGACCAGTTCAAGGTGGCTTTGCAAGTTCCCAAAGAATACCAGGCGGAGATGGGCGTGCTGAAGTCTCTTTTCTGTGTCTTGCAGCCCCAGCTTCAGTGTTAAACATGAGCACCACGCAGAGTAAAATTCTCAGACCGATGACAAGATGACTCATGACTGAAGTCTGAGTTCTCATTCCCCTCTGTGACCATGGTCTACAGGCAGGTGGGGCACTCTGGAAAAAGATGCTCCTTGACTTACCTACGAGGAGTTGGAACTCCGCAGATGCAAATCATCAGGTACGCAAATCAATGCACGTAATTCCTGCGAACTCTAGGACAAGAAGAGCCTGTGCAGACTTGCTGCCTGTCAAGTCTCCAGCAAGCAGACTGTGTACATTTGGTGATAAACAGGTGACAGAGACTTCCTGAGTTTCCTTCCCTAAACGCGTCAAGAAGAGCTCAGGATGCGATTGGCTCGAAGCGAACCTTCGGAATCAATGGCCTTGGATGAGGTGGTTGCCTTGCCAGAACTTCAGTGGAGCTGGTTGTAGGAGTTGGGGGTTCCACCAACACCTGTTCCCGTTGGGAACGGGTGGCTGTCCCGGCAGATTCCGACACAGGCTCGCGACCATGGTTCATGCTCAACTGATTATGCAACTCCGAGGTGAAGAATCTGAGGGGCCATTCGGATGAGCACAAGAGCGCGATCGCTTGGGCGATGCAGTGGCTAACCTACGCGATGTTTCATCACGGCGCCGTGGCTGCATGCTTGACAGCCCTCATAGCGAGTCTAGTGCCAGGACATGTTTCGCGCATGTTCCGTTGATTATTTCCCAGGCTGCCTCGCCTAGGAAGACCTTCACAAGGTTTGGATGTCAGACTGCAGAGCTTGATCGCTTTTGTGCCCATACGAACGGCGCGGCTAGCTTCCTGAGCTCAGGGCCTGTCAGAGATTCCTTGGCCTGGGATGTGATCAAGGCCGAGCCACACTGCAGCTGAGATGCTGAATTCTTTTACTGGAGCGTCTGAATTGCTAACGGTAAGCCCCGGTGTACAAACCATACCTCCCAGGCTCACCCGAGTAAGCCAGCCCCATCTTACCGCAACCGGGGGTCAACACAGGGCTCCACCCCGTCTTCGGGTAGGTTGAAGATGACCAGTCCGCAGGGTTCAGGGTTTAGGGTTCAGGGTTTAGGGTTTAGGGATGCCAGTGCTTTGGTACAGGTCACCATTGTCGATGCGCCTGAGCTCTCGGTGTATCCTGCCTTGAGCTTCGAGGAGGATTTACGATTTGTTGGTTCAGGAGGTCATGTCGGTTTTGCCAGGAAGGGTTTTCCATCATGAGTGCCAAGTTAACGAGTGACATGAGCTCCCCAAAAACTCGGAAGATTCGTGTTCCTGTGACACCTCGACAACGAGGTATTACTCCTCCGTAATGGCGGGTGCCGCCATCGACCGCACAATGCAGATTCTAGAGTTGGCACACTCGTGCAACTCGGATCAACGTATCACGTGGAGCCAACTCTGGCCTTAACGAGGGCTCGGTTGAGGTTGAGTCTTTCCTTGGCGAGTGGTAGGGTGCCTTTTCAGCCAGTGGAAGCATAGTCACAGATAGTCACGCTCTCTCGTAGCTCCCGTGCAGTACTGAATCCGTGTGCAATTTTGGCGAGTGCGTGGGACAGGGACACCTGTGCATCTGAATTGTTGGAGCTCCCAATCACTTTGTCGGTCGGAACCTCCACAAGATGGTTGCTCGAGCTGACACATTGTGACTGGATGCTTCTGTAGTCTTCACTTTTGACACCGGCGAGAGGCCAAAATGCCAGATAGCACACTCACAGGGTGCCCGAAAGCAGCGGGTGATGAGCTCTTTGGTACGCAAGGCGAGGCCGCCATCCGACTATCTGCCCTGACTACAGTCAGACAAAGGCCATCACTTCTCGCGTCACAGTTCACTTCAAGCACCGCTGCACTGGCGATCCCAGCACGCGCGATTCACACAAAGCATGATGTTTACGCACCGAAGAGAAGCCAACGTAGATGTGTTCCAAAATCGAAGATACACCCCCAAGCCTGGTCCCGGAAACAGTCCTTCCGCGCACAGACTTTCGGGTGGCTTCCCGTTCAGGCTTGGAAGTAGGCATCGCATGCTCATTCTTCCCAAAGGACTTCACCCTGTCTACAAAGGCCGCCATAGACATGCATGGGCACGCCTACCTCCAATGTAAGTTGTGGCCATCCACAAGTTGGATGTATGTAGCATCGCGTCCTGGGGATTGTCTTGGACTGACGCGGACCGGTCGATACGGTCACGCTGAGGTTTGCATGTCTAACGTCCTTGGAAGTAGGCTGGTAGGTGCCACGAGAACACATTGCGAGGTCGCAACGATGTTGGGTCCCTTTACCAACCACCAACCCCAAGTCTTCGATGTGTTGCAGCAAACCTTAGGTGCCGCACCCGTCGCCCATGCGCCTCTTCGTGTGGTGGGCTTCTGGCCGTGTGCTAGTCAGGAGCCTGGGAAGACGCTGAACTTGCTAAGCTCGTTCGGCGCGCTCACGCTTCCTAAGGATGACGAGCTTGAAGTCTAAACTCTGTGATGGAAAACACAGGGCTATACAGGGCTTCATATAAAGCCAAAACTTGTAGCCTTGCAGCAGGGTCCAGACACCGTGGATGCTTCTTTTGCCAGCTCCCTTCCAGAATATTTGTGGTTGGTTTCTGCTCGCCTGCGGGCATAAGAATCTCAATTGTGAGCTACCTCACAGGCCATATTGTACAGTCATGGCCCATGCAAGTGGTTGCTGCTTTTCGTGCTTTCGTAGAGGAAGTGGGGTTGTTAACATGGACGAATACCACAGAGGATGTAGGTTGTTCGCCCTGAGTGCGGCAACATTGTTTGACTGGAGGAAGTACGGCACGCCCGGCAGCGACATCGTCATCGCCAGGAGCGGGACGGAGAGCGCGACTTGGCTTCCGTGGTCTCACAACATTCACATGCTCAGGATCTAGGGCCCATGGGCCCGTGGAGAATGGGTCGCAGGCTGCAGGTGGTACTTGTTGGCATCGAATGTTGCCAAGGACTTCTTGGAGGCAATGTGGATGCCAACTTGGTGAACCTGCATCCTACATGCAGCTAGCATACTTTTTGCACGAGCAAAGCAAATGAGTGAGGGATCTTGGCCTTGCGATGCTTTTGCTGGGCTTCTCGTGGTGTTGGCGCTACTTACGTCTTCAGCAGTTTCAGGTGTGTGGAAGATGTCAAGCCGATGCAGAAAGTGGAACTCCATTACGATTGAACATGTATTCCGTGTAGCCCAGTGCTAACCAAGCGTTTACAAACTCCAAGTGTGTTTCACTTAGCTCAGTTTCTGCGTACCTCCTGAAACAGCCAGAAGATGCCAGAAGGGTCTCCCGCTTCGCAACCCCAGCTTCGGGGCTTTGGCGTGTACGTGTGGACTGCTGTTTAGGGTTTAGGGTTTAGGGTCTAGGGTCTAGGGTCTAGAGAGTCCTCTGGCAAAAAGGGCTTCGGGTTTCGTAACTTAAGGAAGTCCTTCACGGCAGCCGGTGTAGCAAAAGAAGTCACTTCTCAAAGGATATGCCTTCCGAATGGACTGCAGACCCAGCGAAAAAAACCCGTCCATGCACCCAGGCACTTCCATGCCCAGCAAGCGGAGTCGAACATATCTCGGCCCTTCGTCTTCATATAAGACAAGGAGGGTGTGTTCGACTGGCGCAACCAGGCACTGCATCCGGCAAAACTAGATCAACCTATCCGATTTCACGTGTTCCAAGCACGACCTTTCTAGAACAGTCTGAGTAGAAACGCAGTTGTAAGTTAGGATCACTCGAGTAATCCTTGGAGATGTCCAAACGTGCAGAGGATTCAAAGAGGTTCCAAGATGCAGCTGAGAGTTTGTCAAAGTCAGTTGAAGCATTCGTTGGAGCACTGCGCACCCTCTAGCTCTGAGGCATGGGAAGCTTTCAGGCGGAACTGGCAGGTAGAAGTCTCCCGATGTCGTCTAACCTGTGCAATGTGCAGTGTGGCCCCCAACCCGGCAAGGCAGAGAAGGAACAGACAAGCATCCAGGAGGTTCTTGGAGGTTAAAGCACCGGCATGCTGCGGCACCAGGTGGAAATGCCTCGGGAAGCAAGTACTCCAAAAAGTTTGTCCACAAAGGAAGCGCTAAAGTTGTGAAGATGCGGCACAGCTGTGCACATATCATGCACATGTGCTTGGACTTCATGCCGGGCATTGCACTTCGAACAAGAGTTCCACCCACGTCCGGCTGAGCTCGAGCCCACATGGCAAGCATCTGCAGAGGTTCCGTGCACAAGTCCTCAGCTCGATACCCCTGTTCAGGCTTAGCAAGCGGAGTAGGTCCGCGTGGTCTGCGCAATCGATCCTCCTGAAGTCACTGTAGTAGCTTCATCCTCGACCCTAGACAGGACTGAAGCCACTTTCCCCTGCTGTAGAAACGGTCCGAGAAGATGCATGCAGAGAGGTAGAAACCTGCAAGCTCCGGAACAAAAGCCTGAATAGGTTAACGGGACACCCCAGCTCTGAACTGAGGATGCTTAAATCTCTGAAGCTGGGGCAGCGACCCACCGACAATGGCGGTGCAGAGGCTGCCACCGAAGTGCAGGTGGACCACTTCATTGCCGGGGGCCTTGCTTGTAGGGCTTGACTGCCAGGTTGTGAAGTGCAGTGCCCCCCCCCCGCAGCCCTGCTGACATCAGACCCTTTTCCCGAGGTAGCTGCATCAGACACCTTGTTGATTCTGAGGGCACGCAAGCCCAAAGCGACAGGTCAGAAAACATCAGCCTTGTACTGTTGAAATGGCAACCCGACATGCTGCAACGCCCACCTGATGGAGTTCTACACAAAGGACAGTGATGCATTCCATGCCTACCAAGGGTGGAGCATAGCGCTGAAGCATCCTCTGCACTCTGCACGAGTAGAGTGCTTGACAGCATGAGGTCATCGACAACGATTCACCAGAGCCACGGGCATCTTGCTAGCAGCCCATGTGCAAGAACCAAATATGAAAGAACGCATGCGCGACTTTAGTTTGACGATTGTGACATAAGATTGCCGGTCAACATGAAGTTTTGCTTTCAGTGGCAACGTGCAACAGCCACACGGTCCCGAGTGCTCCGTTGCCGAGATCTTGATGAATTTCACAGATCAGCCTCAGCCTCGGCTGTTGATGTCCAACGGCACCTGCTCTGGTGTGAAGGAGGTACAATTGTACTTCTTCACATGGCTACACATGATGCACCGTTAAGTGTCAGTTAGTTTTCGGGTTTTTGGGCATGGGTCTGGGAGCATCAGTTGAAGAGTGCTGCCCTACTCCGTGGAAATTATCGGGCTTTCGGATGCCTAGCCCATTACCCTAAGCCTTTTCCTTCGAGCGTGCTGCCACCAGTACCTGAAAAATTCCGGGCCCCGGCATGCTTGCGACTCAACAACTGTACCCTAGAGGGCCCCCAGCTTGAGCATGCCTTCTGTATCGTGGCTTGAAGGCAGCCCTACGGCCGGAACCTCATTGCTGATAAGGGACATTCTTCTCCACAGTGTGTGCTGAAAGCACCCCCTTGAGTAGCAAGATCTGAAACTACACGTCCAAGTTGCCGGCGCTCTTAAGGCTTCAAATCAAGTCAACCCCCCCCCCCCCCCCCTGCACATCAGAAAGGTCCCAGGATCGAGCCCGGGAGCGTGTGAAGGAAGAGAAGGTCGCTGCTAGGCAGGGCTGGTACACTTCAAGAAGAATGCCACATGCAAAACTACATGGTCCCAACTACACACACCACCAAACTTGTTATTGGTATTGGCCAGTACAGCTGCCCTATTTATTGTAAGGTGGTGCTCAGGCCCCCCTGGTCCTCTGCCAACGCCCCTTCTTTTTACAGCGTGCCAGCTTGCTTTAAAGAACAGACTGCCATTTAGAGAGGCTTCAACACCCAGAATATGAACCCCGAAAGGAGGAAGGAAGGCAGGCAGTCAGGAAGGAAGGAGGAATGCGACAAGAGCCAATTCTTTGAACGAAGATACATCGCAAGTTATTCTTTCGAGCCAAAACCAACTTGCACCTTGGCATCTCGTCTGCTCGCACAGATTCAGGGGTGGGAGGGGGCAGTCGAGCTCAGCATCTTGAGGGCAGCTCAGGGGAACCTGACGTGCAAGAAAACTGAAGTCTCCCCGTTTCACCACTGCTCACACTGCAAGACTTTGATGATAACTTTGATGCCTTCACTTCCTTTCACTTCTGATTCTGTTTTAAGCTGGAATCGGAACCACGTTCTTAAGCCAAGCGCTTGGAAGGGAGCTCCTGCAAGTAGTCGACGAGCTGCCTGAGTGGTGCCACGGCTGAGGTTTCGGGGTTCAGAACAAACTGAGCCCATAGGCAATAAGCACAAATTAAGGAAGTTGGCTTCAGTCAAGTCCCTTGTAGTTGGTGTTTGGTGTCTGCTTGCGGCCAGCATATGCCCAGGTTGAGCACGTGCTGCTCATGACAGGCTGTTTAACTTCGGAGACTTTAGCCGTTTCTGAAGCTATGCCTGCCAGACCCTCAAAGTCCTAAACCCCACTTTCGACTCAAAACGGGGATTGCGCCCACACCATCTACATGCGGCGCGATGCAACACCCATCAAACTTTCCGATTATTCCCACCGTAAGAACCCCCTAGCATGTCTATACAATTTGGGGTCCGAACTTCGCGATTTTTGTGGCGGCGCTCTTGCGAAGTGGGCACAATGGTGTAGCAGATGGCATCCTCAAGCTCCGCGAACCCGAAACCCTGTACGAAGAAGAAACGAAGGCCTCATGTCTTGGAGCCAACTCTGACTACTGGGCGCAACCACGACCCCAATGCTGCATAAGAACAAGAGCACAAGAACACAAGAACACAAGAGCCCGAAACCCCTTGAAGTGTAAGCCGTCTTGGTCTCCAGCCGGTCTCTGCCACTCTGTGCTCATCTGATCCTGCATGCTGCACACCCACTCCGCCTGTTTTAGCCTCCCGGTCTCTAGGCCAGGCCGACCCATCCACGAATTGGCATCTCTTGGCGCGGCGATTTATACAAGGAACCTTGAAGTATCCCGAAAACCGGACAAGAAAAACCGGTGCCGGGGGGGGGGGGGCAGTTGGCGGATGTGAGTAGTGAGATAGTGACACCCCAAGAGTCCCAAACGAGCTCAGAGCAGGTATGCAATTAATCATTTGGAGTCGCAACGTCGAGACATTTGGTTTCGCTCATCAAAGGTGGAGACAGCAGAATGCTGCTGCATGCTGGAAATTAGCTTTGCATCTCTGATCCCCTGCCACACTGTCGTCCTAGCTTTGCAGCGGTGTTGGCTGCTATTCTGCCACTCGAAAATTCGGCACATACCTGGCCTGCCCCATGATCCATAGCCAAACAGCAGCAAATAGGAGCTGGATCCTCTCGGAGTCTTGCGTCCTAGAACGTCTGAGCCAACCTTTTCTTAGGAACTCTTGGTCTTAGTTTTCCGGACGAGTGGAGGTATGATGGTTTTTATTGCTTCGGGTGTCGCGGATGATTGACCTGGGATGGCTCTGCTATTCAGCTCATACTTTTGAATCGTCAGCTTCCCTGACTTGCTACCCTGCAGTATAGCTTTGGGCTGCTGGGCGGGGTGGCAAAAATGTCATAACACCAATCCAACTTGCACCGAAGGGAAGCCCAGTCAACTGCAGTAGGGTCTACACAACACGTGATCCGCGGCTTAGAGCCAAGGGAGCGCTTCTCTTGCGCGGCCGCATAGCTGCAAAAGAGCTATACCTGTAAAAAGAAGCTAAGGTTACTAAGGACGCACGTGAGGAGCACACAGGTATGCATCGTACATAAGCCTAGCAGATCTGAATGTGTTTTGAGGATCGGGGGGAAAATGCCAGGGAGCCCCTCTTGAAGCCCATAAACCTCCTCGCACATCCCATGAACTGCTAGATGTCGGGTACAGCGGATCGGAATAGCGCATATCAACCCCCCCTGATCCGTTATGCCGTAGACAGGAACGGTTCTGGCGGGCCACTGGAGTGTCTATTTACGGGAGCCTCAATCCGTAGCGCTTGCACATCAGCTACCATGTGCAACGCCAGCGTTCGCTCATATTCGCTCACAGGTGTTCCGAGTGGCTGCCTTCTTCTTGCCTGCCGATGATGACCTGATCCAGAAATGTGCATCCAAGTGTAAGGATGGCAAGGCCAGGGGATGGGACTGTTGAGCAAAACGGGGCCGTCAAAGTTCATTCTTGAGCAGATCTTCCGACACTTCACCTGCGCCTGGAGAGGAAGCGCTCCAGGAACCAGAATCGGTGCTTCCAGTACTTCAGGAACTGGACGAAGCAGCACCTCGGACTTTATCAAAATAATGGGGCTGCATGGGCATTGGACTTTCAGAAGAGCTCTCAAACCGGCAGTGTCCAATCGTTTCGCCACTGCGAATAGCAAGAGGTAGCGCAGATCAGTTGGCCTCCGACAGAGCCTTTTGTGCATAGGTGTCGGTCCACACTTTGTCTTTGCCGTTTTGCGTGTTCTCACGGAGTCCAGTTCCTGCTTTAACCTTGCTTGGCCTGTGCCAGATAAGACTTCCCAGGTCTTCAAAGTCCTGACCAAGGTCAGAACCTCAGCACGAAAGGCAAAATCACAGCCATGCACCACGGCCTCCAATGCAATCGAGCAGTATCCCCACACCTCCTCCACAGCTTCTACCCAGTGCCCTGAAAAGTCAGGGTTCGCCAGCTCTCCACACCTCGGACATGCGCCCATCCTTCTCAAGATTGGAAAGCTGCTCTGAGCTCCTTGGCTCCAGTGAGGTGGACCTGATATGCCAAAGGGATTAGGGTTTAGGGTTTAGGCTTAGGGTTTAGGGTTGTGTGGAAGTCTGCGGTGGAGCAAGTGACATCAGGCCGACGAGCCACTGCAAGGGTGATGGCATTGGCAAGCCCTTCTACAGGAACCAGCGTGACCTATGTGTTCGTAGGGCCCAGCTTTAGTTCGGCTCAATGGAAGGGGTTGAAGGTTCAGGTGCAAAAGGGAGCCGCTCACCAACCGAAGCTCCAAGACTCGGCGGCGAGAGAACGCCGCATGCCATTCCCAGTTGCGTGCGGAACCTGCGAGCCACACTGTGATCTCCTAGCGCTGTGAAGTATGATCCCAGCGATAGAACGACGTTTTTCCCGAAAGCTAGTTCCCTGGCGCTTGCATGAATTCTCGCAGCTCTAGGCTCATCCTTTTTCCCTTTGAGCCGTTTGTCTTGCCGGGGGTTTTGAATGTTTTTGCTCACTCCTTCTCGTTCAGGGTTTCGGCTCCCCCCACCTTCGAACCCCTGAAAGCATGATGCTCCGAGGCTCTCCACCATGAGCGTGGAACAGCAAACAACTCTGAAGGAGCCGCGAGCTGTTTTGAGTTCGGTTTTGAGCTCTGGGGTTTTGTATCCATGTCTGTTGAAGAAAGCAGGCGTAGCAGCCTTGTCTTGATGTTCAGGAGTCAGAGGCGGCGTGCTGTTTGGGGATTTAGGATCACCATGCGTATCGCCCAAGATCCACCGATTTGCCGCAAAGACGACGCAAGTTCAAAATCCCTGACGTGGGGGGGAGAGGGACCAACAAAGTCAAATAGGGATCAATGATTGAAAGACCGGATAGCCCCACAGGTCTTTTTTTGCGCGAAGACTGGTGTAGGTCGTTCGGTCGTTCGGTCGTTCGGTTTGTGTGTGTGTGACTAGGTTCCACATCCTGTCAAAGCTTCACAAGCTTTGACAGTATGATGTCCTGTTTGGGCCTTCCGATTTAGGGCACCAGCCAGCGGCAGATGGCCGGGCCACCGGTTGGTGGAAAGAGTCTCCAAAGCTGCTAGGTTTTGCTCCACTCTTTGCAAGCCAGGGGTTTCTCCCAACGGCACTCCTTCTGATTCTTGTCTTGACTCGATGTCTCATGGAAAGGGGCGTCGAAGGTCGTATAGTGTCAGGTGGTCGAAGAGACGGTGAGCTTCAACGCCTTGGTTTCGCAGCCGCCTGTGGCGAAGGCTCCCGCCGCCCCTCCAGTATTGTTCGACAACATACGTGCGTCCTACGAGGCAAGGGCCCCGGTCTTGGACTGTCTCACTCACGAGCGTGCACTCTACATGCCATCTGGAAAAGGAAGACACATGTCATTGGCACCGTTGAAAACAGAGGAGGTGAAAGATATAGAGAACAACTGAGAAAGACATTACAAATAGACAGAGAAGGGAGAAACAGACAGAGACAAAGAGAGCCAGAGAAGGAGATAGAGAGAACCAGAGAGAGTGAGATAAACATGTATATTCAGAATAGATAGCTAGCTAGATAGCGCACAGCAGATCGGATCTCGAGTCGTGCATGTCGCGCATCGCTGCGGTTACGTTGGTAGTCTGCGTTCGCGTTCGTAGCCCCCATCAGGTTGGATTTTTGCGTGCAACAGCCCTGGCCCTAACTTTTAAAGGCACCACCGACTAAATGCCTCCTACTCTGAGCTGCCCACGTGCAGGAGCACCTCACGGATTTGCGCATGCTGTGTGTCATCAAAGCCCTGCGGGACGAAGAGCTCGATGAGGACATTGCAACAGTCGTTTGACAGTGCCAGCTTCAACAATGCAGTCTATGTCGTAAGCTAGCACTTGATATGTCGGATGATATACTTCTTGCCGGAGACTGTTGAGAATTTCAAGTGGCGCAATCATGCATGCCAAGTCCAAGACAGTGCAAAAACCATGTTGTCTTTGTGTGCTGTTGTGAGGGCGTTTTTTGTTCTGGCGCAGCCCCGTTCTTCTTCTGTGTGGCGCCGTGGACAAACAAAAAAGGAGCTTGGCCAATCCCAATACAAGGTGTCGGGCCTCCATTGGAACAATGCTCAAGGCCTCGGCAGCAGAAAAAGCGTGCCGCCAGCCACCGCAGCAAAGAAGACCTCCACAGCCAAAAACCGGCCGCCGTAACCAAACAAATCCTCCACAGCAAAAAAAAGTAGGCCTGGCCTCCGCAACAAGAACGCGGCGTGGCATCCGTCGAAAGGAACGAAACGAGGCTCCTCGGCAAACAAAAACACCGCACCCGCCCTCCGGAGCCAAGAAGCGCACGGCCCCCCTAGCAACGAAACATCTGCAGCAAAAACTCGCCCGACTTCCGCAACAAAAACAGCGCCCGGCGTGCTTGCAGTAGCAACTCCACAGCATCCCGACAGCGCCATTTAAGGCCCTGAAGCCTCAGCGCTTGTTTGAAGCCTTGAAGCCTTGGAGGCCTCATCCTCAGAAGCATGTGCTTCTTGGCAGGAGGACGAGTCTGACGATGCAGCTGCAGGTGGAGATATGAGCCCATCAGCAAAAAAAGGAAGTTGTCAGGCCATGCGGACCATCGCGTTCTTTGCTCTATCATCATTCAGGACATGACAACGAGACAGCGGGGACACAGTTGCAGTCAGTTCCGGGCTGACGATTGCATGCTGCGAATACGTTGGAATTGACTGCCGCATGTTTGACACACCTGCATGCAGAGTTGATTAAGCAAGTGCCCACCGCTTCGTTTGGATCTCGAGCTTGAGAGTGTACAGTGTACGCCAACGAATTAAATTGTCGATCCCACCCCAAATGTTGTTTTCCAGAACCCTGTAGAGCTTCGACTCAGTCGACGTCCTTCGAGTCACAGCTTGCACGCGCCAGAAAAGGCAGAAGGACAGCCCATACAACGAGAAGCCCAAAGAAAGCAAGAACAGCAGATTCCAGATCGGAAAGCAATGCCACGGCCTTGAGCCATGTAATGGCTGGGCTGACGCTGGAGGTGCCAGCTGTTGAGGATGCTTAGGTGGCTTTCAGTAGATAGTTGAGATCGAAAGCTCGAAGTTGAATACTTGGACAGCTTGTCTTCCTGTTGATCTCGTTCGGCAAATCGGTGCCAGGCCTGTGCAATGCAGGCTAGTGCTTCAAGCAACACATTAACGGTTCATGCAAGAAATCTGAAGAAGCAAACGATGCGATTACTCTTTCTTGCTGCCGTCCCCCTACCTCACAGAGAAGTGCATCACCACCGCATGCCAGCAGAAGCAGGTTTAGTCTCAGAGTTGCACGAAAGCTGGGCGAAGTGTGCACGACAAGAGGTGGCATGTGATTTGTTTGCTAACGTGTTTTATGTTTGAGAGGTGTGGCATCTCCGTTCCGCCTCTGCCCTGTTGCTGGCTGCCGCAGTGCGGTCATTCGTCGCCTCGGTGGCGGGGCGAGATTGGGCATGTGTTGACGCGTATCTCCATCCTCATGGTATTCGGGCGCCACTCAGGTTTGCATTTCAAGGTGGCAGACATTTGGTTGGGTTGCGTTGTGGGACCTTGAAATCGGGAGGCGCAGAGACATGGCACCCGGATTCAACGCCCAAAGCATCTCAACCTGGCAGAATTTGCTCTGATCAGGGGTTTAAGTTGGCCCAATTGCGACCCTACGTTGCGCAGTTGAAACCTTCACTCCTGCATGTGATCTGTATAACTGAGCTGCAAGTTCACCTGCAAATAGATACTAGGCTTATATTCTACCTTGTTCGCCTTCAATGACCAACACCCTTTTCGCACTCCAGGAGAGCTCCAGCATTCTGCTGGCCCTCTTGGCACTGTTGCTGTGGCTTCCGGTCCGCACAGGGGGAAAAGAAGATTGCACGTGGCGGCTCCATTGCCGGCACTTCTTTCTTCTACGTATTGATGGTGACACATTGACACGTTAACACAGTCTGCTCAAGTCCCTTGCGCGAAAATTCCGAGTTTGGCCTGGCCGGTATCAAAGCAGGCTACTTTCCGCTCACGCCAGCCGCCAAGATGCCAACCAGCAGGCAGTGAGGGGCCCGCAGGCTTCTTATTGGTCCTTCAGGTCCCTTCCTGCGAGGCAATTCTAGCCATCAGAAAAGCATCAGCTACACTCTGACTGCGGCCTGTGCCAGAACACCCAATATGGTCATAGGATGTCATAGGTCTCTGAGGGCTGCAGACTTTGAAGACCTAAGAAGACATTGGCAGAGGCACATTCCACGCTGGTCGCGAACGACGCTGCTCCGCCCCCACCGCCCACAAAGAAGGACAGGCTTAGAAGCTCCTGATGCGTGCTGACATCCTGTGTGCCGCAGTTATGCTACAGAAGGCCTGCGTCGTCCTGCAACATGCCTCTCATGTCTGCGCTGTTTAACACGCACGTAAGTCCAAAACCATGACAATCGTTTGTTGGAGATCATCTCGGAAAGGTGGTCAGGCTGTAAGGTGAGCGGCCTAGAGTGCCATTCGTCGATTGAAAGCACATGTTTGCTGTGCTTCAATGTCTCTGTCGACAGAGCTCCCAGAAGCAGGACGATGCGGCAGAGCTGTTCAAGCAGTGGACTGGAAATGTTGCCTGGCTGCAGGGGCTTGGTTCGCGATGGAGAAGGTCGCTCCATTTTCGTTTCTCAATTTCCATGAACTGAAACTACCAAATGACCGACCGGAGCGCAACCGAGCGAAGACAGAATCCTGGAAGCTGGTTTGTCGTTCTTGCTTTTTGTGCTCCTGTTCACGTTGTGTCCAAAATGCCCCAAACCCTAAACTAAACCCTAAACCCCAAGCCTGTGTCTTGGTCGTTGGTTGTTGATTCTGGCCTGGCCCTGAGAGCAAGCATACGCACGACCGCAGACGGAACCTGTCCCCCCCCGTCAGTAATCTGGTACCTTGGTAAAGTCACTTTTAGTCTCCTGAAGGGGGGACGGGGCGCCCTGCACTAAGTAGTCATGCAGCCAGGTCTCTTAAGTCAATCGTAAGCCTGGAATAGTCCCTGTGGAGTGATCGAGAGCGACCAGCTAGGCGGGTGGCACAAAAGCCCTAAAGCCGAAATGAACTAAGCCTCGTGCAAGAATCGCCTGTGAGGTCGTGATGGCCGACACCGGGGTTGCGATGCCCGCAGCACAGATCGCCCGAGCCTGGCTGCAGATGGCACGCTCCAAAGGCTTCCGGATGATGGAAATCACGGATTGGGTTTAGGGTTTATTCTTTAGGGTTTAGGGTTTAGGGGCTTGCGATGTGCCCCCTGGTACTGACAGTCCTTAAAAGGGCTTCAGGACTGTTAGTATAAGGGGGAACATCCCAAGTCTCGGCTTAGGAGAGCGTGATGATCGTGAGATTCATGGTGAGTCATGAGGCAATCATATTAGGACCATGTTTACACACAAGTGCGACCAAGTTTAGATTCCGAATCCGTTCTTGACCAAGCTACAGCCAAACCACTTTGCCTGTCGAAAGCAGATTCTGGACACCACATGGAGCCGGAATGGTGCCGGCCGTGTTGCTCTTTTTCGATCGATGTGCAATCCTGCCGAGAGGCCATGGCACAATCCCCTCAAAAAGCAGCTTCTCATCCCTTGCCACTTGGCTTAGCAATGTTAAACTGCGTTTGAGCACTTGGGCTGCATGCGTAAAACAATACACATGTAGCAGCTAAGCTTTCCTTTGGCGCCTCTTCCAGTTCCAGTTCCAGGGTCTTTTGTTGGTTAGGCTATCGCAAGTTATGAATACTCATACGCTCACCCATAAGACCCTAAAGTCAGGACACGCGTAGATGCAAGCATTCTTGGCATCTATTGGTGCAGGCGAGACATGCTGTGGGAACGGAGCTCGGAAAAATATGCCTGGCACGGTTAAGGTGAAACCCAAGCGGCGTGTCGGAAGCTCCTCTGACCTATGTGGAAGCATCACAGAGGCACACGCGTTGGCGATATGAGTGTGTTTTGATAGCGCCTTCAATGCTAAGAGGTACTTGCCAGAGGGTGCAAGGCTCCAGGGCAGTATTCGTTTTCGGCAAACAAAGATGTAGTCCTGTTGCCACGAAAGAAGGGAATCCATGGCTGGACACGCATGAGGTGATTACATTATTGCGAAATCTCCTCCTAAGAGAATCCTTCGGCCTTTGCCCACAGTCATGGACTGCAGGGACCCCTTGAATTCAGAATCTCATATGCTTGTACCCATCCAGCAGGGCGACGAGTCTGCTGGCAGTCCGTGGGAGGGTCCCGCTGAGGACGCCTTCCACGTTCAGCTCGAGAGCCTTGCCTGAGATCCTTCCCTGTGTTGCCCAGGATATCACAGCTGGGTCAGGTGCTACACAACATCGCCACCGTCCTTGTGAGAGGTCCAGATTCGCATACCGAAAACTCAGTCCAAGTCGGTGGGGTGTGTCGCTGCATTCCGCACATGCGACGTGGGCTGTTACCCAATGCAAGGCTCCTTGAAAGGCGCAGCAATGAGCCATATAAACGTGAATGCGTCCACATTGCTGCGCACGGATAAACTTGCGCTGCTAGTGTCTGCGGAGCGACGGTACTTTTGCCGCTTGAGCCTGCAAGTGTTTGTATGTGATGTGCCGTGTTGTCTAAGGAGAGAATCCACTACCGAAGACTGGGGCTTTGTGTGGAATCAGTCGGCCTTGTCGACGAGGTGCACGTTCTGTGCAACCCCTTTGAGAGGATGTGGCTTTTGTCCATGCTTAACTGGACCAAGCCGTCTTTGATGCAGCATGCAGCATGCCGCTTCGCACGCTTGGCTGCGACATGTGAATTTCCCCAAGTGCAGGCGTCGATTTCTTCTGGAGTCGGTGAGCAGCTTTTCTCAACAACGAAGGGCAGCAAGAGCAGTCACTCCTTCGCTGGTCAGCTTTGCTTGCAAGCTCAGCGTGCGTGACTGTGCAACGTCACAGCCCGAGCCCTCAATCAAGCCTTAGAAGCCTTAGCACGCCTTGGAGACCGAGCATCGTGTTTCTGGCTGCCCAGGCGAAGGAAGCCTCGCAGCGAGCTGGAACAGCCAGGAGCGTGAGCTGGGGCGCTGCACGCTAGAGAGCCTTCGGCTTCCAAAGCAGGAGATACCACAAACCTTTTGTAGGTAAAAGCCGAGTGCATAAGCTACGGGCAGGGTTCGGGCATGTTCCGACGATGCGCCTTACACTGGAGCTAGGCTTGGTATAAGATCTACGGTAGGAGGGGTGGGGGTGGAGTTTTTGAGGAACGTTGCACTTGCAGAGTGTATTGTTTGACGGTTTCGTGGTCTTTTGTTGGGCTTGGTCGTTTGCATTGGCGGGGCTTAGCGCACTGCCGACAACCCTGGCTACTTGTATCGCCGAAATTGGCCGTGCAAGCAAGGAAGCCTTCAGAAAGAAGGAAGCACCATCAGAGAGAATACCTGCTGCATGCATGCCAACTTGCCTTAAAACCCTAAGCCCTAAACCCAGTGTGAGAGTCGAAACCCTAAACCCTAAACCCAAACTAGCGTCTTAATTTGCCACGAACTGCAGGCCTGGCAGCACCCTGGTGGAGCCTTGGCGTGGCAAGATGCGGGCTGTAGGATTGCCAGCAGGTTGGATCACTTAGCCTGGTGGGGCATTGACGCGCAGTTGGAGTTCCAAGCTTGGTGTGAATCGGTTTGAGTGCAAATTGGGGGGAAGCTTCGTGAGTATTGCAAACTGGCAGTTGGCAAGCTTTTCTGGCATCCTACATGCACAGACTCCTGTGCATCAAAACAGCAGTCCGGGCAGCTATGAGGAAGTGAACTTCCTTGCCGGCTATGGGGTCATCCGGCACGAGCTGAGCCCCTGCTGCATCCCGATGGACGCGTTTTGCAGCTTATCAGCAGCCGCTGCCCGCGCCCACCTGGCGCTTTTACTCAGAAGGCAGCCACCAGGCTCTTGCGGCTGCAAATCATTGGCTCCGACTCCTGCTCTCGCCCCGGTGCGCATCGGTGCGCCCTCTCCCACTCGCTCACTGTCTCTCACTCTCCCACTTGTCCACATTGTATTGCCAGCTGTTTCCACCACAAAATCTCCTACTAAACTGTTTCGTTAAGTCATCAATGGCTCAAACATAGTGTGCCTACGAAGTCTCTGTCTGTGGAATTTTGAACACTAAATGCGCTGTCGTGGATATCTGGTCTCTGTCATACACAGCGGTGAGAAGATGAGTTGGGACGGCATCTGCTTCTAAATTTGATGAGGCTGAGATGTTTGTGGTCAGCTGTGATGCACCGAAGACTTGATTGGTCTCAGGTCAGAAGTAGTGATTGTCAAGAGTTATATGCATGAACTGTTAACCTTCAGGTGTAGGAGAATGCTATTGTGGTATTGCGTCCCGCGTTACCTGCATTGCAGTAGGGAATGTTTTGAGCTCAATGACAAAGTCGCGAGTTCTCACACCTTACGGCAACCTTCTTTCGCAAAAGCTTCATTACACGGGTTAGAAAGCATCACTGTTATATCATGTTATATCGGTTCTTGAATTCTTGAGGTTTGGCAGGGGCTGGCGAGAACATTAGAATTTGAGGATCACAACCATTTAGAGGGTTTCAACTCCAAACAATTTAGGCAGCGACTGCCAAACCCTGCACAACATAACCAACAGTTCAGCCATTCACCCCATTAAGGGGTTTTGCGCGGTAGCAGCAACGAAGGAAAACAGAACGGGTTATTCACAAGGTCTGGATAAACAAGCGGTTCAGTCCATTTCCCTCGAAGCCCCATTGAATCAGAAATCCGTCAATGCAAAACCCCAGATTCCCGGAACATACACCAGGAACGAGGCAACACAGCTGCGGCTGACGTTCCTGCGGCCGGCTGCTGCTTCTGTTCTAGAGAAGAAGCTACGCCCTCGGACGTTTTGCCGGTCTTGCAGAAGCTTCACTATGTTGAAATCCGGGGGGCCATTCAGCGTCACATCTTGATGGGAAAGAACAAACACACCCTCTTCCGAGTGCTCGTCCGGCTACTCCTCGCTGCCCTCTCCTGGCTTGTTATGGTTACCCATTGACCTAGCCTGTTGCTCTAGATGCTACCGTTCTTGACGAACTTGGCCTGTTCCTCAGGCTCGCCGGCCTACCACTGGAGTGCCGAGTCAAAAACTCCTTCCTGGAGGTGGCACAGGTGGACGCGGCATCTCTGCTTGTATATTCGAGGTCCTTCAGCCCCAGGCAGTGAGTAGGTTGGTTTTAGCCCATGCTAGTGCCAAGGACGGCGCAGCGCAATAAATTGCAATGGAAGGAGGTAGTCTTCGTCAGGCATAGCTGTGCGACATAAGGCTTCGGCTCGAAACCCACATTGAATACCTCAAGCCATTGGCATCCTTGGTCCCGTCTTTCACCTGACAGCTCTGAAGTGGGGCAACGGTGGGATGACTCAGGCTCAATGACGTTTCACTTCCTGAGGAGTTGAGCTTTTGCTATAGCTCATGTGTCGATACAGCTTTTGCTTGTACCTCCAGACCTCTCTAGACTGTTCCTGAATTCAAGGACAGCCAGAATGAAGCGCGTCATTTCTCAGATCCGGGACCGTCAGCTCAGCCGCTCGGACAACAACTCAAGGGCTGAGGAGCGTCGCCCCCCCAGGACATCCTTCGGGGTTCCCTGGACGCATCCTGTGGTCCTCGAGATCGCATCCATACTACCTCTCAGTCTAGCTGGGTTGTGCTTACCACATGTCCACAATTCAGCATCTGTCCTTGCAGCACAGGAAGGGCTGCTCATCCTCGGCCGAAGGCACAGGCCAGCCTTCGTTGGGATGTGTCCCTGTTTCTGGGGAGTTGTAGGTGCATGGAAGTGCATGGTGGTAGCCACGGTCATCTGCAACCCATGAGTGTCCTCACGCCCCTTCGCGAATTAGAATTGCACTTCTTGGAATCACTTTTGGCATCCGACCTTAGGGTTATTTAGGGATATTTACATAGAGGCTGCTTAGGTATATAGGGACATATACAAGGTATTTTCAGGGTCCCTCCCTATACCCGCTCAGTTAAAGTGGCAGCACCCTTGAGGCATGAGCGCTGCTGTTTCTCAGCAGCAGGTTCCGGCACTTGAGATATCGTTCTCTTGCAAAGAACTTGGTGGAATTCTGACACGACATGCGACGCAGAGAAGCAGAAGCTGAAGCTACGGCTCGGGTCGGGGGCTGGTTTCAGTTCCAGACACTTCCCTGCCCTCGGCCCGCCTAGGATCCGCAAGTCTGCGGTGTCTTGACTGAAGCAGGCATCCCTTTCTGCACATTCAAGGCAAGATGTGAATATGAAACGCTTCTTCCTGTCTTGGTGAGTTGCACGACACGCGTCTGCGCCCCATGTTCTCGAGCCCCTCCATGGGCATGGGGGCGGACCCCCCCCAACCCAACCCTAAACCCTGACCCTTCCCGAAACTGCTCAACCCAGCACGAACCAGGAGGGAAACCTTAAGGCCTGAACCCTGAGCCTAAAACCCCGAACGGAGAGGCAAAAACAAAAACCCAGTAGAGTGAAAAGAAAAGGGAGCCGGGTGGGGGGGGGGGGGGGAATTCGTAAACGAAAAACCCTGAACCCAAAACCCACCATGTAGCCATTTTGGAGGAAGTTCCGTTGGCAAAGAACCAAAGCACACCTCGAACTCAACACCAAAAAGCAGCCCTGGGAAGCGACCGTCAGCCTGGCGTGAGAGGCCCAAATGTTTAGGGCTTAGGGTTTAGGGAGAGCAAAACGTCGCAGACTATTGTTTCGCCCGCGAGACTAACGGAGCCGTGAATTGCGACCTCTCTGCTTACGGTTACGGGCTGTGAGGCTGTTAGCAGGTTTCCAAATGGAAGGTGTGATGTTTTGGTGCCCCTAAACCCTAAACCCCTTAAGCCTTCCCGTCAAGGATATCACACCGAGTCAGAGGCTGTTTCGGACTTGATCGGGACTGCCGCGCTGATCTCCGGGCTTATGAGGCCATAGTTGGGATGTTCCCACCTTGTACTAACAGCTCCTTAATTGGGATTCTCGCACCACCTATTATAAACCTATAATCCCTATTAAGGACTGTTAAGTTCAGGGGGAACCTGCCAAGGCCATCGCATCTGAGACTGGGCTATAACTACCAGTATCACTACTAGGTGCACTTTTGCTCTGACGCTAACGTGCTTTATTCAATGCACATAGCGCACGCAAGTTGCGTAAGTTCGGAGAGGCAGTGACAGTGAAAGGCCTTTGGTACCCATGCCCATGACTGACCAGTTCGTAAAAGGTTGTGGACCTGTATCCATCAGAAGTCATCCCTTAGATGCTTTCCCGGGCATGCAGGAAGCAACACCACTCTTCCTCGTTTCACTCTGCTTAACCCCCCCCCCCCACACGGCAATCCCCACTGGAGCAGCATGGTCTTCTTGCGTTCCTGCAAGAGGTCCGCGGAGTTCAACGGCAAGTGGTGCAGAATAGATGCGTTCGATCCAGAGGCCTGGCTTCTTGCTCTTGGGTGGGCTTGTAATATCTGGGCAGGGGCCAGTCTGCATCTGTGGCCTGGTTTCTTTCGACATGTCCAACGTATTTTGTAGCTATTTCTCGCAATCTGCCGGTTTCGACACAGGCCCCAGAAGCCAGCGAAACATGCATGACATGCACAGCCTTTCTTGATTGCATCTTTGTCTTGTCGCATAGCGAGGAGCCTCATGCACCAGAAGTTGCGATTCACACTGAGAGGCGTGGGTAGAATGCTCGCGCAGAGCACGCCAGACACATTGCAGGTGCGTCGGTACATCGTGCGTGTCTTCCTGGAGGATGGCCAGCCGCTTCTCGGTGAAAAGTTTGAGCTACTCAAAGGGTTCCGCGATTTCAGGGTTGCGGGCTTAGGGAACGAGTCATGTGTCAGCATTCTGGGTGGCATGAAGAACCTGTTGCAGAAAGTCCACAGAGGGCGCTTTTTGTGGACCTTGCAGAGCCCAGGCCTGTCATCGCAAAGCTGCGCCTGGAAGCTCGTGTGCATGGTTGAGACCATGATTTTCAGCATTTTTTGTTTTTGGGCATGTGTTCTTAACGAGAGTTGTTGCTAACAATGTCAAGTATCCTACAGGGTGCGGTCACGCCTTCGCATCAACTTTTTGGGGTTGCTTTCCGATTCCGAAGGAGAACCTGGTCTTTGGGCCCGCTCCCTCGCTCGCCCCGGTGATGCCATCAACCTTTCAACCCGCCTGGAACCCAGCGGCTTAAAGATGTAAGCGGGGCTTGTGACGCGTGTGCCATGTTCAGTTCTTGTTAGCTGCATATATAACTAGGGCCCACCCGCCGGCAGAGGGCGTGCGTGCCCCTCCCGACATGACATCGAGCCCCGTGTCCGATGGTAGAACCTGGTAGAACTGATCCAACAAGACCCCCGAGAGTAAATGGCAGTTTGTCTGAGAGCTGACAGCGACCACGCAGACCCCCAACGATGTCCGCTGAATCATACATCATATGGGTTTCTGAACGGAACCGCGCAGGCCTCACTTCTGGTCTTGACAGGGGCAAAGGGTCCCGACCACGATTTTGTAGCACAGGTTGTGGACGAGGCCCCGACTGCAATTTTTTTTGAGCCACGACCTGCCTCCTTTCGTCCCCATGAACGAGGACAGCATCACGAATCGACGAACCTCTCGTTTTCCATCTTCAGGCTGCGCCGGCCTCTGCGAGCCCGTGTGCCACATCGCCAAGCGTGCCCGGCGAAGAAGCTCTTGATCCCACGTCCTGGTCCTGGGGCGAGTGGCCCTGGATGCCAGGCGCGGGTGGTGATCTGAGGGTTTGTGTACACTTTTTTTGCGTGGTGCAAGCCAGAAGCGCCAGAAGCGCGGCAACGTGGCGTGGCAGGGTTCGGAACTGTGTGGAATCTAGGCCCTAGGCGAGCCCTGACCAGTTCGGAAATGAAAGGCCAAGGTGAAGCTCAAATGAGCCCTTGAAACCCAGATCGAAGACCACTAGCCTTGAAAGCTGCTGGGCTCAATTTTCGTAGCCAGGCTTCTAAACCTTCTGAAGTAAACCCGCGAGGCATGACGAGTGTGGCCGGTGTCCCTGCTGCTGCGGACGTTGATGCTTGGCAAGCCGACTGGGCAGCATGGTCAGCCTCTTATGCTTTCTAAAGCTGCACTCTTACAAGTTTGTTCAGTGCCAACCTTCAACTTCAACCTTCAGTGGCCCAGACTCCCAGACCATTGAGAAGTTGCTATGAGTACTGGCTTCTTGCTTTCCTCTCTCCCTTTGAGCGAGAGAGAGAGAGAGAGAGAGAGAGAGAGAGAGAGAGAGAGGAGAGAGAGAGAGGAGAGAGAGAGAAAGACGCGAGAGAGCGAGAGAGCGGGAGGGAGGCAGGCAGGCAGGCCGGGAGGGAGGGAGGGAGAGGGGGAATGCGAGCCCCGATAAGACAGGCTAGACAGAGGGGGAGTTGGGGCAGGCTTCGGACAGGTAAGAATAATGAAGGCGGGTGAAAGAAGGTAGCCAGTCGACGACTGTCGCCCCCTGCAGGGCAGAAGAAGAGAAAGAGAATCCCCATTCTCAAGCCAACTGAAAAAGACCGAGACTGCGCAAGGCCAGCAAATTTTCAAAAGTTATGGCCGCAGCCTAATTGGCCCTAAGTAGAGGAGGCTCCTAAACTCTAGCCTCGAAGCCACCCTGAACCCTCAGACGAACTTCAAAGCCCAAAATTAAATGAAATGGGAGTCAGACCCCTAAAGCCTGAACCCTTCAATGGAATCCTGACGCTTTCTAGAAGACGGACCTTCGAACAGAATCCTTGCCTGCCTTGTGCGAGTGCGAGAGCCGAAACCCTTTACGGAGTGGCAGGTCGTCAGGGACCCCGACAGATGAATGACCAAGAAGTAGACACACCTGACCCGGAAAGAAATCCTGTAGCACCCATGAGAAACCCCACTAAACTCCATGAACTTCAACAAGCCCTGCAACTCCAATATCCGAGCAGAACATCGAAAGATCAAAGAACCTAGGTGCCGGCCGACTGGGCATACGCATTTGCGCCTCCTGGGCTACCTCCGACTGAGGTGCTCGTGGAGGATCTTGGGGGTTTCAGGGCCTGGAATTCCCCTCCAAGCGGGCGTGGTACAACCCATCATGCTCAACTCTATGGCTGTATCACGCTCAGGTTCAAGGTTCTGCCGAATCTGTGCAAATCTGCACTATGTCCCTTCTAGAAGTCGCTGAGTAAGCGCACCCTCCCGGAGGCCACCATGATGCAGTGCCTGCCTGCGCTGCCTGTGCAGCCAGCGCAGCCTCCTCCACAGACGCCGCTCTGCTTCCTGCTGCGCCGGCATGGTTGGCAAACTACCTTGGCACAACGGGGTAGGTGTATCTCACGTTTTGGTCTAGAGCAGACTCATGTACCCACGGAATGACACCGGCCAGCATCACCAGCAACCTGAACACAGTTGCTTGAAAACACTGACTCTTTCCATTGATTTCTGGCATAAATACAAGAGCAAACCATGGCGCCGTGGACTCTTCCACACAGGCGAGGTTTGGGCGTGTTCCTGACCGCTGCTTCAAACGCAGCGTCTACTTGGGGATTGATGTTGATTTTTGCGATGCAAAGTCTATTTGGGGTGATGCATACTCTTTTTGGGTGAGGTGAGATACATCCACAAGGGGCACTTCGAAAGGTCTGACAGCTCAAAGCCGGATGGCCGGCATCACTCTGCACCCTTCCAGTCGCTGCTTGTTACCCAATTTCGGCATGGCACATGGCTGAAGGCAACACGCAGTTACAAACTTCAAAGGTGTCTGTGCGTGCCTGTACATTGCGATATGCAAGTCGTTGGCACGTCAAGCGATGGCACAGCGTAACTGGATTCCCTGCCAATCACTTCAACTGCAGGGGCGCCTGCGCCATGGATAGGTCAGCTGCCAACGAAGACACCCATCCACTTTTTTTTGGAATCTGGACGCAGATTCCACGTGCTGTTTCTAAGTCAGGGCGTTTTTGATTTCAAGAAGCCAGTGTTCGAAAGTCGGGGCCTCAACAAGCGAACCCCAACATGTCCTCACGGAGATTGCCGATCACAAGACAGTTCCGAGGCTGGTGGAAGGCCCCTTTCTTTTCCTTTCTTCCTCTTTGCACAAGATCAAGTCTTGCCAAGTCAGTGGTTCGTTCTGGTTCACCTGGCATTGCTGACCACGCTGTGTATGAGTGCACCACAGCCAGAAGAAACTCACCAACTGAGTCTGTGCAGTCCAGACAGCCTCTAAAAGCCCACCTGTGTGCGATGGCATCATACAGCCTTGCCCTACAAATCTACGGCCAGGCCCACCTCGAGCCCACAGTTCGCCAATAGCGAGACCAGTGCTCCAAGTAATTTCGGAGCAGCAGATGCCTCAGGACCCTAGGAGTGACTCATTTTTGCCAATTTGTTGCTTGACCCGTTGGAAGTATCTCGGCATGGGAGGCGATTAAATTCATGAGCTTATCAGAACAGTGTCGGCGAGTTTGCTGCTGTTTGCTGCAGGAAGTCACGAACACCCTCCGCAAATACACACCCATCAGGCGCGGCACAGCAGGCATTTCGTTTCAGTGCACTCGCTGGCACGAATTAACAAGCTGGTATTCGAGTAGTGGAATCGGAGCAGCAAGGTGCTGGAGCAGCATCTGATCCAGCAGCAGCTGCAAGCGATGCAGCAGAGTGCGGCACCCGATGCGCAGGCACATACTTTGCCCTTTTCTATCTTGACATGACTGCTTTCGATCCGTGTTGTCAGCACCTGTGCAGCAGCCATGCTTAGTGTTGACCTTTCAACCGGAGTTCTCGCTTGATGAAGCAAGGAAGGAAGACAAAGAAAGAAAATCCTCAACCCGGCCAACAAGAAGCCCTACAGTACAAACCAGAAACCAGTACTCCTTAAAAGCCCCAAACCTAACTCCAAACCATCCGCCGCAAACTGAAAGACCCTAGAAGACCAAACCCTAAGCCCTAAGCACCCTTAGACACGCAAACATGCAAGGAAGCCCTGCCAAGCGCAATTCTTGAAAGTTCCCAGGACAAGCACAAAAAACCTAACTGCCTTAAGCCCCAGCCCTCCGTGTGGTGCCTGCCATACTGTCCTAAGGCGCCCGTCCGTCTGGTGTCAGCGAATTTGCCTTCAATCGGAAAAACACAAACTCCCGCGCAGAGGAAGGCAGAAAAGCAAGGATGGAAGGAAGGAAAGAAGAAGGAAAGAGAAGGACACAGCTATGAGTTGCAAGAAATCCTAAGACAACTCACGACATGCCAAAAGAACCCTGAAAAGGCCAATGCAACTTGGTGAAAATTTGTGAGGCGCAAACCCGACACCTTATGCAATCCTACGAATGCGATGAAATCCTTTGAAGCATCTTTATGAAACCCTGGCTAACCATGAAACTTCCTGCAATGCCATGCCGCGATTGCGAAAGCACATGGTGTCGGAAACCCTGTTTAACCTTATGAAGCCTTATGAAACCCAAGCACTGTGAATGCGATGGAGCCCTTAGAGCCCACGTAATCTTTCAGAACGCCGTGAATTTTCCTATCGGCTTATGAAGAACATCAACAGCAAGAAGGCTAGCGGCTTCGGCTGTGTCTCAGACAATTTGCTTTTGGCCGCGAAGCCGCACGTAGTAACACCAGCAAACACAAAACGGCATGACATCAACATCTTCGACTACCATCGGGTAGGAGTTTAGGTGCACTGTCATGTCCACTTTGTCCCCGACAACTCCTTCTAAGCCTCGCACTCCCAACTCTTACATCCCTAAACAATGCGCCTTAAATTGTCAAAACATTGCAACCCGAAAACAAACTAAAGTCTTATCTTCCATCCTAAATCCATAAACTCTTTTTGTCTAACAAGAAGCTGTATCCATAAACTTCTAATATCCCAGATGCTGAAAGCATGACTCCAGATGAGGTTTTATCTGCCACAAATCCGACATCCGTAAACTTCCATATCCAGCAAATCCTAAATCTGGAAACTCTTACATCCAGCAAATCCTAAACCCCTAAACTCGTACATCCCCCAAATCCAACCCATGAGTGACATGGGCGCAATCATCGTGCGGGCATAGATGCCCTGCCTATTCGCGCGCACTGGTAGCATGGGCGGAACCATCGTGCGGGCATGGATGCGCTGGCCATTCGCACGTGAACATGGACATAATCATCGAACAGGCCCCACAACCCGCCTGTCAGGCGTAGGACCCGCCAGAAACATTACGAAACATGTCTCTTTTGTTGGTTGACAAATCACGAGTCATCGAGGCCGTCAGGGTACCGCAGGATTCTTCACCCATCTTTGCCCACCAAGATATGTAAATCCAGCTGGGGAGGCAGAAGAGGAGCTGCAGGAGGAGGATCCTGCCGAAGGCAAGAAGAAGCTCCTAAGCCCGGTTGGGTCAATGTGGAGTTTGGCGTATAAGGTCTTGAGGGTTGCTTTCGGGCGCTTTCAGCTCAGAGAGCGGCTGGGGCTATGGACCCTAGCAAAGATCTCGCCCCTGGCTTCTGTTTGGGGGTTTGGGGTGTTCTTTAAGTTCTTTAAGTTGAAAACTGTGCCAATCACGGACTCGGCTTGTCGCTGGCTGCAGCTGCTGCTGAACGTTTCGGACACCTTCATTTGCTTGAGCCGAACAGTCATGAAGTGGCTATGAAGTCTTTTTGAGAGTTCAATGTGGAGGCCCTCTTGACTTTCAAGTCTGCTCACATCACCAACCCTGGTGCTCTCTGTTTGGCATATGCCTTCGGAGACCCAGACTTGATACCTGGAGTTGGTGTGCTTCAACGCGCTAGCAAGTCATGACTGCTTATGCAAAATTTTGCAAAATTCGAGTTTCCAAGATGCAAGTCCAAATCTTTCCAAACCCTGAGTGATCCGAACAAAGCGTTGAAGCTTCTCCCAAAGGGTCCCAAGTACCTACATAGTAGAAAGTACGGTTTCCCTGATGGGAATTGTTACTATAGTTTGGGTAAGTCTCCCTCATACTGGCACTTAGGACCCTTTGGGTCTGGCTGTGCCACCGAGGCGACGTCGGCGGCGGAGGGGGAAGCGCAAAGGCCGTGGCACTAAGGACGCCTCCTTCAAACCGAACTGTGGTTTACAAAGCACCGGTCATTTTTTTTGCAGAGCAATCGTGAGACTTACTTGTTGTGTGGCATGCGGTTGCACATAGATATGCTTGACAATGAAGACCAAGACGTGGACACAGCACGCATGCACACAATCCAAGAAGTTGACACATAGACGCCCGACAAAGACCTCGAAGGCATCCAGAGAATGCTGCCGGCATTTGACTTCAAGAGTTGGGATTAAGCTGTTGTTTCCTTGACCCCGGGCGTCATCTCACACGGAATAGCATGACACAGGCCCACCCATCTTGCCTTCGCGACCTAGTGGTCAGTGAACTGAGCCCCCGCTGTGATCCGCGTCTAAACCACGACCAAAGTCAAATCGCCGAGCAGCCTACGTAGCGACTTGCACGAGTCGAGGATCAGGATGCAGAGGACGACGCCGAAGAAAGCGACGCGGCCGAAGAGCCGCTACTTGGCAGAGTCTGGCTTTGATGAAGGTCCAGCTTTTTGTTGGACGCTCTCCACCTTCTTCTTGACCCCTCCTTTTCCTTGACCCCCAAAGCAGCCCCCCGCTCTTAAATTACTTAAATACTATTTTCTCGCAAGCTTGAGAAAAAATAGGTTTTCTCCACAAGTCTTTCATCCCCCCTTTCATGGGAAATACAGGATAGCTACAGGCCTCTCTTCGCGCTTTCCCACATGCCCCCCCCCCATCCCCACAACCCCCCCGAGCTTTTTTCTAACCCACCCCCACTCTTCTTTTAACCCCTCCTCCCAGTCTTCGGCGTCTTGAACCCACACGCAACAATGCATGTGGCCCAAGATGCCCAAGACTGAACCATGGCATCTCCATGAGGGGGATTCAGCAAAGAGATGCCGGGGTTTAAAAATGGAGGAGGGGGGTTAAACCATGTTAAAGACGAGTCAAGGGCGACCGGCTCCGAGGACCTTGGGATCTCACGGGTCTCAAGGGTTTTGGGTTCTTTCGGGTTTAGGCGGTTAAGAGTTTAGAGGTTCGTTTGGCGCAGCAGCTCCAAAAAGTTCAGAGCTTCGCACGTTGAGTTTCCTCTGTGACCCACAACCGACAAGCTTCCACGTGAACTCTTTCAATGCGCGCGCGCGCGCGAAGAAGCCTTGCCGAGGGGCCTTGCAAGAGAAGAGGGCACTCTGCCCTCGGAAAGCCAGGAGGCGGCGCCCTGACACCGTTTGATGTGAAGGGGAGGGCTTGAGAGCTACTGATCATAAGCAGAGGTGGAGATATGATGGGATGATGTGCTGAGTCAGGAGATTCAGTGGCAGGGCTGCTGCAGAATTAGCGTATCTGAGAATTGCAAACAATTGACATGAGACCATACTGTACTGGCACATACTGGCACTGCACCTCGGCTGCTTTTCGTTGTCTTTGCGCCACGAAGGAACAGTCAGGGACAGCGGGTGGTGATTCACTGGCTTCTAGTCGAGAAGTCGGGATGCAGGTGCTCTCTCAGATGCAGGCAGAGGCACCGAAGGACGGCTTGGCGGCGAAGGCCCAAGCTGCGGCCTCAAGGTACTGGCATAGGGGGGTGTCCGAAAATAGGGATAATAGGGGACCCCTGGTATAGACCCCCAAATAGTTAGATTCCCTTGTAATAAGGACCCAAATAATGTACCCATAAGTTCGGACACCCCCAGATTGGCCATTCTATGAACTTAAATCTCCTGGCCCGCCCTTGTTTGGTAGTGGGCTCATCGTAGCGAAATCACCTTTCAGCCAGAAGCTACAGGGTACGGCAGGAGTAGATGAAGTAGATGGGACCCAGGCAGCAACACTGGCGAGCTTGCCGCTGCAAGAGTCTCCGGGCGGAAGCACAAGGACGCGGGGTGCCTCTAGTTGAGCTATACCAATTGCCACGTAAGACGTGGCAAAGCTTCAGAGGACTGAAGACTAAGTGGCCAAGCCTCGGTCAGTATCAGGGGCGAAAGTGGATTTTGGGTCCGAAAATTTGGGGCTTGAGTTTACCCGAGACTTGTCTTGTGGTTTCTTTCCTTCTGCTAAGGCTGCGAAGCACATGGTCACGTCTTTCTCACATGCACGTGACAGAAACATGTCCTTCCACGGTTATTCCTTCTATTTTCTGGGATGGCCCTGCAGTCATAGGCACTGTGGTGTGGGAACGGTCTGGGCAGAAAGGGCAGCAGTCGAGACCCTAATGAAAAAAGGGTTTAGGGTTTAGGATGCTTCTGGGTCAAATCCTAGGCTATTCTGTGTGTTGAAGCTGCGCCGGTCGTGTCAGGAAGCCAGAAGAGTCCTTCCAGGAGGCTTGGGCTGCAGATGCTCTGCACTTGCAGGAAAGATTGGAGGGGTTCCAGAATTACTTTAGTTGTTTGTGAAAATTTGTGCTGCGCATTTTGCAACTCATTACCACATCGAAATTGAGTACCTTGTCAGTGTTTCTTGTGGGGTCGGAGGCCACATGGTTAAAGCAAGCTTTGCACGGCTTCAAAGAGTGGGGGGGGGGATTGGAGGGAGCAGGGATCGGAGGCATCAGCGAAAGCCGAAGGCGATTTCAGGGCAGCAAGAGACAGGCAAAGGCAAAAAGCCAACACGACCCATAACATAAACTTCCCCCCACACCCCACTCCAAGAAAAAGCAAGCACAAAATAAACAGGCCTATAAACAACTGTGCCTCCACAATGGGGTGCCTTCAGCAGCTCAATTTAGCTTTCAACACAAGTAGCCAAAAGACGTCTTGCTCGAACGAGAGAAGAACTTCGTGAACGTTGCTTTCCGCAGATTCAAGCCCGCAGCCACCCATCGTTCTCATCACCGAGCCATGGCGAGTGATAAAGAAGAGCTGCTGACCATTTTCCGCGCCTTCGACAAGAAAAAGAACGGGCTTGTATCGCAGCCCCTACTGCACAGGCTACTGCTCAAGGCCGGACCCTCACCGTCAGGGAGTTTTGCAGGCGGCGTAGTTAAGCATGACAACCAGTTGGCTGTTGGCACATATGTTGCTCTTAGCGAGACGCCAAGAAGCGCTTCAGGAATCACACCGTGCAAGCTTTAAGCACGGTGACCAATATTTTGTGGACTGCACCTGCCGTCTGAACTCCTGGACCACCCAAACCCCCTCAGCCACCCGGCGAGGCTGGCTTTGTCAAGGAGCACGTGGCTGCTTGCCCTTTCACGCAAGTTGTCTCTCTCGTTTTCTTGTTAAGGCGGTAGAGCCGGTAGAGCGAACAAAAGGTAGCAAAGGATGGCGCCAGCAAATCAGAATTCCTACGAAACCTCTGCCAAAGTGATGCTTAAGTTAAGGACCAGCTCTGGGATGTGGCAGGCTTCGTGGCCAAGGATTTCGTGCCCTACGCGAGTCTGGTGCCTTTGCAGTTGGGATGCTGGAATGACAGAAAATCCTTGGTCCTTAGACGCCCCCAAACGGCCCCTTCATGCGAACAGCCCCTGCTTGAGGTGGACTGGCTCTGCGCTTCAGAGCTGGACAAGGCGAGAACTACTGAAACCGGATCTTGTTCTCTTCAGGAACGGCCAGGGTATTGGGACGTATTGAGACCAGAGCAAACCGAAACATGATCCGCTTGCTACTATGCCTGTTTGTTGTTTGCGATGCGTTAGCTCAAGGTCTGTGTTCACCCGTCTGTGTGGCTTTGCGCAGACAGAGCGACACAGCAGCCAAGATGTATTCTTGACATGTGTGCGTGTGTGGGCGGGATGGACCAGGGTGCGCTCGGCCTGTGAAAAATCACCCAACAATCAGAAGCGGCAAGCACTGTTTACTATCTTAGTTAGTAATGCAAATACTTAATAATAATCATAACAATGATAATAATCAGAATGCAAGTAGTTGTGATAATTTTCAAAATTATAGTAAATGTTCCAATGTTGATAGTATTAACCCAAGTATAAAGAAAGATGTTGAAAGTATTTGGTCTTTATTGCAAACTCTTATATTTAAGAATGAGCACGGTAGCCGAGTCCCCACACACGATACAGTATCCCCTTGGTGCGATGGGGCAGTGCCCAAGATTTCAAGCACCACCCCGAGACAAAGGCGAGTATTGTTGATTCCGGGCATAGCAATTACGATGCCAAACGCGTGCAAAACGACCTCAGTCTACGCCCCAGGCCCACGGGCCTGGACTCAATCAAGCCCCCTCTTCTTTTTGGAAGGGCTTAGCCAACGCTCGGAGGCTCCACCTACAGGTCCTGGTACTGCCATGGAGCCGGTGGACCTGACTCACGCCCCGCCCGACGGACAGGCGGAAGTGCATGGCTCAGCTCCAGGGCCCCAGAAAATTTTTAGAAGGATGTTTCGGATTGAAGTCTGGAGTAGCTATTTGGCCTAAGTTCAAGGTTGTGTTGGGGGGTGAGGCACGTGTGACCTGGATTGCTCCTACGCAATGTTTCAGTGCATGCCGCTCTCATGACAGTTCGGAGCACATTTCGGTTGTGGCGAAAATCTGCAACTTGACAGTACAAGTACCGAAGCTACGGCATGGCTACCCATAGCTACTACAACTACGCCAAAAAGCGGGCAATCGGTAAGCTTCCAAACTGATTTCGCTGCTCTCATGCTCTTCTCGTGTTCCGTTCGGTTCCTCGGAGCTTACCTCAGGTCGCCCTCCAGTCGCTGATGCTGCTGATTGCTGCTGCCAGTTGGGCAGAGCATGGCCCACAGAAAGGCGAACGAATTTGCTGATCAATTGTTTTTTCGCAGTTGGACACGTCGCACAGAGCCAAAGTGGGCGCATGAGTAAGCTCTGAAACCAGATTTTTTTTGGGCGGAGAAGCTTCGAACCAGAGCCCTTTTCCTCGGAGGCGAGGTGTGCACGGAGAGCGTTCCCAGCACGCCAGAAGCCTTCTTGACCTTTTCCGTGGCCGGCGCGAAGGAGCCCGGTGTCTTTCTGGGTTGCCGTGTGGCTTCTGGCATGGGACGTTGGAGGTCACATTGACTTCGTTTGGCTTGTGCAGGAATGTCCATCTTTGCAACTCCGAATCGCTTGTGTGAGCCTGCAGGAACTGATGTTCAAACTAGTCACCAGGCATTGGTTTCAAAGGCCTTTTTGCGAAGTCTGACACGTCCTGCACTGCACGGTGTTTGGAGGAGGCAGCTGTGAGTGACTCGGTGGCTTTGGCATCCATCCTCACGCAGAAGGCTCTTGGGCGGATGCTTGGGATGGGTTTTCTTTGCGCCCTCTGGGCACACTTGAAGGCAGAGCTTCCCACGTGCCGGCATGTTCGCAAGCAATTTAGGTCTTGGGCCTTGGGCCTCTAGCTTTCTGTCTGGTACCCACCCGGATCACAGAAAGGGATGACCTAAACATTGTTCAGTTGCGCATGTGCACTACCGCATCCAACTGTGCCTCTGGCAACCGCCTTGGAAAGGTCCGTCAGTTGATCCAGGGTGGGCACCTGGGCCAGACCTTTAGGTCCTTTACATTCTTTGCTATTCTTTCATGAGTCTTTCTAAGGCTTTTGGCTCGCAGTTTGTTGCGGATGTTTCTGATCAAGTGTTGCCTCTTGACCGCCTGTGATGCAAGAAGGTCACTTGGGTTGGAAATCGTGGACTACACAAAGGCGTTGCAGCTGCTCAAAGCCGAAGGTGTCTCAGCTCTTGCCAAGGGGGCTCGAGATGAATCAGATAGCAGCTCCTGACTTCACGACCCAAGTTTTGGCATCTAAGCGAAGTGCACATTGTCCAGTTGCAGGTCTCACTCAAGTTGTGCACCACGTGCAGCACACGGCAACTCTCGCCATGAGTCGAGGTTTTCGTGGCTGCTATGCACTTGCAGAGTCCCTTGTCGGGGCTGCTGCCGTTGGACTGCATGCTGTGCACCTCAAGGCGGCCCTCCGAACAAGCGCGTTGTCTTTGTCTGGTAGAGTTCGTGCATTTTGGGCTCCAGGGAAACCCGCCTCGAGTTGTGACTGCATACGTGGGGACAGAGAAGCGAAACCATGGGTACCCTACATGTTCAGGGATGCCTCAGAATGCGCTTTACTTGACCACCCAAGGCTTCGGCAACTCCCAACTAGACACTCGGGATCCTGAGTTCGGGGTTCCTCCCCAGAAATGCGACCTGGTTGCTGGGCCTCGCCTCGCAGGGTGAAAGTTCCGGAGCACGGCAGGCCGGGCACCCGACAAAAATGAAGATAGAGGCTTCCGTGAGGGGTTGAACGAGGGACATGCGAAAGATTCCTTGTCCTCCATGACTGTCTTTTTGCAAGGACCTGGACAGTACCCTACTGTTGTCCTCAGCTAGCTTCAGAAACTTCAGAGTGATGACGCTGCTTTACCACTAGCTCTTGTCATTGCAGCTAAAATGGCAGCAGACACAAAAAAGGGCAGCTGAACAACACGGTACCACCTTTGCCTCACATGCCCCTCGCGGGACCGTAGCCGCGGAAAGCCAATACTTACTCTTGCTGGGCACGCGAGTGGCAATGTGGAGACAGCATTGTCATTTGGGGACTGGCTAAAGAAACTGTGTGGCCAGAAAGTTCTTTAGTGCATCTGTGAAAATCTCTGTGTGTGTGTGTGTGTGTGTGTGTGTCCCTGTGTGTCTGTGTCCCTGTGTGTCTGTGTGTCTCTGTGTGTATGTGTGTCTCTGTGTGTATGTGTGTCTCTGTGTGTCTCTCTGTCTGTCTGTCTCTGTCTCTGTGTCTCTGTGTCTCTGTGTCTCTGTGTCTCTGTGTCTCTGTGTCTCTGTGTCTCTGTGTCTCTGTGTCTCTGTGTCTCTGTGTCTGTGTGTCTGTGTGTGTGTGTGTGTGTGAGATGCTGGCCTTCTTTCCAGGGCGGGGCTCACCAAAGTTGTTGGCCTCTAATATAAGCTACCAGCAGCTACCGGCCCCTCAGAGAAGCCTTCACCCCCCGCAAGCCTGTGAAACAGGTTTTATATCACTGTTATTGGGCAGTTTATATAAGGTTCCTTATGAATGTTGGTGTACGCGTGTATTGCGTGTCCCTTTAAGGAGACCAGCAATCTAAACCCTACCTCATGTATCCCGTGTTACTCCCCCAGAATCGCATCTTTTCAGGTCTTTCGCACGCCGGCTGTAGCACCCTGTGCGCTGCCCAGCTCTCTGGCCGGGGTGCCTTGGGAGATCCAGGCCACGGAGAAGGCGCCAAAAGAACTATACAAGACCTACTAGCCTACCTGTGCAGCCTGTGCAGCTTCAGTGTCTCTCACGCACCTCCCATGCCCTCCTTCCAGCATAACACACTGCCGCAGCCAGGCAGGAGGCGCAAAAGATCGCAAAATTGAACAGGACGTCAATAAACTTGTTGACCCACACGCCGAGCAT